GGCCTGGGGTTGGGCAAACTAAAACCTAGAAAAATACTCAGTGAGTTATTAATAGCACTTATGCAGGGGTTGGAATTCTATCTTTCTAACAGGTGAATTTTCCTTTCTTCCTCACACATTTGTATATTACTAAAATTATTCACAATGATTTAGGATTTTTTTTTTAATCCTTACCTGCAACCTAGGAATGTGCCCTGACCAGGGACCAAACCTGAAACCTTTTGGCTATGGTACAACTTTCCAACCAACTGACCCACAGGACCAGGGCTGATTTACTTTTATGATGACCAGAAATAATTTTGGCAGCCCCCTTTGTCCATGAAAACATACATTAAAGCCAAACAATGTAAAGGGTGACTTCGCTCTCAGAACTCTATAATCATAGTCACAAAAATTCCTCCCCTTTTGTCATCTTTAACAATATATTTCCAGTATCCCATACATGCTCTGTTTTTCCTTCACATATCATCTGTAACTACCCTAAAATCTGATAAGTGAAAATATGTCTTTTCCCAGTATGCTTGCTGAACTCACTTCTTGTCCCCGTCCTATTACTTTATGAGACCTCCTTCCCTTCACTTTCATTGTGTCAGAAGTGTCACAATTTCGTGTTTCTGTTTCCCATTGTTTTCATAAAGACTAAGAGTGAAATGCAATAAAACAGTTGTTCTGAAATTTTTCAAAAGCAACCAACTATTCTTTGGAAAGTATGCATTCTAAGAGGTGCAGCAGCTGACATGGAAGTAGAGTGGGGGTGCCTAGGCTCCCCACTCCCAAAAAGGACCCCAACCCCCATTTTTCCTGCTGCCTAGAGGCACCTCCACAAGTCTGAGGCAGGGTTTGAAAACCACCATTCTTAAGTCATTGTTGCAAATTACTCAAATACTTACACAGGCACTGCTCTGCTTGACTAGGGAGGTGGTGGCTGCCAGCTGCCAACAGTGCCACCATGTCGTAGCCCGTGGTAGCTGTCCCTCACCAGACACCAAAATTTGGATGTGGCAAATAAAAGATGGCAAAGTGGCCCTGGCTGGTGTGGCTCAGTGGATTGAGTTCTGGCCTGTGACCTGAAAGGTCGCCAGTTTGATTCCCAATCTGAATACATGCTTGGGTTGTGGGCCAGGGCCCTGGTTAGGAGCATGCAAGAGGCAACTGATCCATGTATCTCTCACACATTGCTGTATCTCTCCCTCTCTTTCTCTCTCACTTCCCCTCTCTCTGAAAGTAAATAAATCTTTTTTTTTTTAAAGATGGCAAAGGGGTGTCACCAGAAGATGCACAAAAGGTATTCACAAGTGAAAGCACAAAGTGGAGGACCGTATGCAAAGGAGTTTTCTGTGTCACTGACTTCTGGTCAAGATGGAGGAGTAGGTAAACACACTTCACCTCCTTGCACAACCACAGAAAGAATTACAACTAGACCTCAAAACAAACAACACACAGAACCACCAGAAAATCGAACTGTATGGAAGTCTGACAGCCAGATTTGAAGTCTGACAACCAAGGATTTAAAGAAGCCACATTCATCCAGATGAGAAGATAGGGAGGAGACACGGAGGCAAGTGGTGAGGCACAGAGACACACCACCTGTGGTACAGTGTGGTGCAGAAAGGTGTGGCGGCAAAACAAGCTGTCACACATTCACATGTGGTGGTCCCCTCTCGGAGCCATCCCCCCACACAGGGCTACAGAGAAGCAGTGCAGTAGGTTGCCATGCCTTGGCAATTACTTCAGGCTCCAACCCACACAATTTACAGGTGCCTTTTCTTCAATAGGCCACACTACTAAGACGGGGAGTCAAAGCAGCTCTACCTAATTCACAGAAACAAACACAGGGAGACTGCAAGATTGAGGAGACAAAGAAATAGGGCCCAAATGAAAGAACAGAACAAAATCCCAGAAAAAGAACTAAACAAAATGTAGATAACCAACCTATCAGATGCAGAGTTCAAAACAATGGTGATCAGGATGCTCAAAAAACTCACTGAGCATGGCAACAAAATAAAAAAAAACAGGAATAAGTAATAGTTACACTAAGTGAAATAAAGAAAAATCTACAGGGAACCAACAGTGGAGGGGATGAAGCCAGGATTCAAATCAACGATATGGAACATAAGGAAGAAACAAGCATTCAACCAGAACAGCGAGAAGAGAAAAGAATTCAAAAAAACAAGGATAGTCTAAGGTGCCTCTGGGCCATCTCCAAACATACCAACATCCAAATCATTGGAATGCCAGAAGGAGAAGAGCAAGAGCAAGACACTGAAAAAAACTTACTTGAAAAAATAATGAAAGGAAACTTCCCTAATTTCATGAAGTAAATAAACATACCAGTCCAGGAAGCACAGAGTCCCAGACAAGTTGGATGCAAAGAGGACCACACCAACACACGTCATAATTAAAATGCCAAAGGTAAAAGATAACAAGAGAATGTCAAAAGCAGCAAGAGAAAAGCAGAGTTACCTACAAGGGAGTGCCCGTAAGACTGTCAGCTGATTTCCCAAATATACCTTACAGACAAGAAGGGACTGGCAAGAAGTAATCAAAATATTGAAAAGCAAAGACCTACAACCAAGATTACTCTATCCAGCAAAGCTATCACTTAGAATGGAAGGGCAGATAAGTGCTTCCCAGACAAGGTAAAGCTAAAGAAGTTCATCATCACCAAGCCATTATTACATGAAATGTTAAAGGGACTTATTTAAGAAAAAGAAGAAGATCAAAACTATGAATATTAAAATGGCAACAAATTCACAACTATCAACAACTGAATCTAAAAAAAACTAAGCAAACAAACAGAATTGGAACAGAATCATACATATTGAGATCATTCGGAGGGTGCTCAGCTGAGAGGGGGAAGGGAGAGAACAGGGGAAAAGATGCAGGGATTAAGAAGCATAATTGGTGGGTACAAAATAGACAAGGGGATGTTAAGAATAGTGTAGGAAAGGGAGAAGCCAAAGATGTTGTATGCATGACCCATGAGACATGAACTAAGTAAGAGAGGGATTGCTGGAGGGAATGGGAGTACCGGGTAGAGGAGGGCAAAGTTGGTGCTAAACATCTAAAGCAGCCTAGAATTGTTAGCTTCTAAAATAGTTGCCTCACCCTGGCTGGTGTGTCTCAGTGGATTGAGTGCCAGCCTGTGAACCAAAAAGTTGCCAGTTCGATTCCCAGTGAGGGCACATGCCTGGGTCTCAGTTGGGGGCATGTGAGAGGCAACCACACATTGGTGTTTCTCTTCCTCTCTTTCTCCCTTCCTTCCCCTCTCTAAAAATAAATAAATAAAATATTTTTAAAAAAAGAAAAAGTACACTTGTAAAGCTATCCAAGAAACAGTTTTAAAAAAGGAAAGTGCCCTGGCTGGTGTAGCTCAGTGTATTGAGCACAGGCTGCGAACCAAACATCGCAGGTTCGATTCCCAGTCAGGGCACATGCCTGGGTTGCAGGCCACGGCCCCCAGCAACCGCACATTGATGTTTCTCTCTCTCTCTCTCTCTCTCTTTCTCCCTCCCTTCCCTCTCTAAAAGTAAATACATAAAATCTTTTAAAAAAATAAATAAAAATAAAAAAGGAAAGTAACAGTACAATAAAATTGCAAGGTAAGTTTTTCTAAAAACTAATATATATATATATATATATTAAAAAACATAATAAAGTATATGTCATCAAAAAAATCTAAGGGTCCAAATTTCCCTCCCAACCCCTCTTCCCACCAAACTCCCTCACCAGGGAGGACAGTACTGTCAGCTCGTCCATTTCTGGGCCAAATCCTCCATCACAGCACACCTGGAGCTGTACTTGGTTCCCATGCCGATCCTGCTGCTTTTTCTCTCCTCTCTGAGCTTCTCATACCCCTACTGACAGCCAGGACTCTGGGCCAAGTCCAGTCACTCCCATCCTCATCACCTCCTCACCCTGAGCCTGGCCCCCGCACTCCCCCGGGGGCAGTCAGCAGAAGATCAAACCAAACAAAATTGAAACCCATTGCCACTCTCCCCGCAGATGTCTCCCTGCCTCCTTTCAAACCAGCTCCAGGAATCCTACAGGCACTGAGCTGTGTGATTCACACGCTCTGATCGGATCCTGTGACAGAGATACCACAGAAAGGAAACAGGGACTCGGGGAGGTTAAATCACTCAGCTGATGCCCTTGTTTCCCACGAACCTGTGAGGGCTGTGGGAAAGTCCAGTTGCTGGTGGCAGGAAAGGGGAGAAGGGGACAAGGGGTCTTATTCTGTACATCACTTAGTCCCAAGGTGAGCTGAGCCAAGAACTGGACTAGGGCTGATTTCAATCCACTCTGATCCAGATTTTCCCCAGAACTTGTCCAGAACACAATTAGTTTCCAGGAAAGAATAACAGGAAGTGTTTGCTTCACTTTAGATGAAGAAAATAGAGACTGGTTACACTTTTCTCTCTTTGGAGCAACTTCAAACATGGGGTTAGCTAAAATGCCAGCCATGGGTAGGCCAGTGGAAACTAAACTTGCATCTAAATCCTGCTTCAGGTTGCCTGCGTCTGAGGCTCCAGTTCCTCTCCGAGACAGCCCCAAGCTCCTCTGTGGATCCGGACATGCCAGCCAGTTGCCGTGCTGTCCTGCCTCCTCTCCAGGCCTCTTCCTACTCACCAAGGGTCAGAGCAAAGCCCCTGGAGCAGGGTTCACCTCTCTTCCCTCTACTCTCAGACCCTTCTCCACTGGGGCCCACTCAGGTCCCTGACCACAAAGAAACACACTTTAGCTGAAAGACTGGGGAAAAAAATGTTTTAATAAATACAAAAATCTTCAATAATGACTCTGCTCAGCTCAGGGGCAGCAGGAGTGAAGTGGGGGGACCCTTGGTGCTGAGTGAGGATAAATTAGAAATCCCAACAAGCCAGTGACATTATGTACAGAAGGAAAGGGGTTGGGCTCCCAAGGCAGAAGCCAGAGGGTGACACGGCAAGAGTTGAAGTGGACATGGCCTTCGTCCGCCCTGGCTGCCCCTCCCCCTTGTGGAGTTGTGGTTCCCAGAGGTAGTGGGGGAGGGAGAAGAGGCAGAAAAGAAGAGCCAAAGGCACTGAGTTTCCTGCAGGAAAACGCAGGGTCTTCAGCATTCCTTCCCCCATCCTCTTGGTCGTGCTGCCTTCCAGCTGCTCCCTAGGAGTCCTCGGCTTCTTTCTCCAGCTCTGGAACTGTCCTGTTCTCTGCAGCTGCTGGAGACAGAGGGGAGTGAACACTGGAGGAGGAGAGAGGAAGAGGGAGGTGGCATGGAAACCCAGCCGAGTATCTCTGTTCTGGTCCCAGAAAGTTCAGTGTTTTCTAAGCAAGTCGGTACATACCAGCGGCATAACCTTAATCTAGTAGCCTAATTCCTCTGGCTTCAGAAATCTCACTTGTAAAGAAAAGACTACCAATAACAAGTCCACAAGGTTACTGTGAGGGCAGAAAGGAATGGCAGTTGTGAGGCAGAGGACACTGTTGCTGGCACAAGGCAGGTGCTCCCTTCCCTCCTCAGCACCCCACAGTCAGCCCTCGGCTGCTGCCCCTAGAGCCCCTCACTTACACTGTCGGGGTGTGCAGTGGGAGCAGCAGCGCCTCTCCTTCCCTGGGCCGCAGGACAATGGCAGCGAACAGTTATCCCGCTCACAGTGGGGCACCCCTCCCTGGTGCAGGACAGAGCAGATCCTAAGGGGCCCCAGAAGCACAGGGGGGCACAGTAGCCTTCAGCCTCTTCAGGGAAGCCTGCCCTCCCTGGGAAGGTCCCTCTACTGCAGGTTAGGCCTCCAATGCCCACCTCTCAGAAGCCCCCAACTCCCCACTTACCCCACATCTGCAGGTGATGCAGCTCATCTCCCCAAAGGGGGGCACTGAGGGGTGCCAGCTCTGGCTCTCTGGAAACCACTGCCCTGCAAAACGGCAGCCCCGGGGCCCATCGGCCTGCATGGCGTCCCCCAATTGAGGGTAGGCCCCTGCCACCACTGTTGGAAGGGAGACAGGGAGGGAAGGAGGAAGAGGTGAGCAGACACGAGCTCTGCAAGGGCCACCCAGATTTTATTTGTCTTTGAATCTCCAGCCCCTAGCAGTTTCTGGTACTTAGTAGGTGATAAATTTGGATGGATAGGTGGATGGGTGGATGGGCAGATGGGCGGGCAGATGGACACATGGACAGACGGGGCAGGAACTGGAATTTTTCGTAGCCTATTAATACATGCACATCTTTTCACTTTGTTTGGAAGCCTGGCTCCAGACTGGGCACAGAGTAGTACTCAGTAAATGCTGCATTGGCTGAGAGGTCCCTTCCATCCACCCTCACTGTGTGTCCCCTAGCCCAGGACAAGGCAGTGATGCACCTGTCTGCCCAAGAGGCCTTAGTGCCCACCCCTCACCTGGACACTGTTTGCAGCAGTCAGTGGGGTTGGCGCGGACAGGTTGGGCACAGGCCAGCCGGGGACACTGCACCTTCTCACAGTGCACTTCTCCAGTGTCCCCCTGTAGGGATCCATTGTGTGAGGGGTGTCAGGAAGAAGAGGGAGCACGGAAGCCTCCTGCTTCCTCCCTTTCCTTCTGCATACCTCAAATAATATATCCAGGGCCTCTTACTCAGAGGCCCTGGGATGGTGCTTTATATGCCTGAACCAAATGCTCATTAGAGCCCTGCAAGGTAGGTGCTATCACGTCTGCTCATAGGAGAGGAAAGTGTGGCTCAGGAAGGTACAGGAAGGGCCTGGGGTTACATGGAGCTAGTCAGCTGGCAGAGCCAGAATTCACACCAGGTCAGCCCTTGCCCTTTTCCTACAGGAAGCCAACTCCCAAAGCCAAAGGACTTTTCTCATGTTATTTTGATCCTTGAGCCCTCCTCACCTGAGCTGGGCTTTCCTCTTCTGGCAGCTCCCTCCCCATCTCTGCAGAGACCCAGCTGGGTTATTGTACTAGAGAAGATTAAACAGCCATACCTTGCAGGTGCAGACAGCACACTTAATTAAGCCAAAAGGGGGCACGACAGGATGCCACCGGGTACCCGCTGCCCGCCAGCTCCGGTCACCATCAAAATAGCAGCCTGGTAGGGGACAGTGCCCAGCTCCTGTCAGTACTGAGCTCATTGGCTGAATCCGAAACCAAAACTTGAGTCTCCGGCCAACTCCACACCATCTAACCCCAGGGCCCATTCATGGGCCAGTAACTCTAATGAAGCCTACTAGGTGTCTCTGGAACCTGTGTCCCTCAACCTTCAACCTCACTCATATATTCCTCACCCTCTTGTCCCCTTCCTGGTCCCACTCAACAGATCCTCTTGGTCCCCCCCCACCCCCCGCCACCGGCTCACACACTGCCAGCTCACCCTCTCCAGGGTCCCTGCTCCTTGGCAGTCCTGGCAGCTCTCTGACATCTTCTTTCTCTGTGGAACCAAAGAAATAGTGAAGGCAGAAGGCGATCCCCTCTTCCCTCCCTAGAGGTCTCATCCCCCATGGAAGGACCCTCCATGACCCTCTTCCCCTGCATGGTACTCACCAGGGCACACAGGGCAGCACTGGTCCGGCACTTGCACCGGGCTCAGGCAACTGGGTGGCGGGCACACCACAGGGTCACAAATCACAGTGCGTTTCTGCAGGGAGACGTGGGAGGTTATCGGGAACCCTTGCCCCAGAATCCAGGCCCCAGTGCACCCTTCTGAGCCTCCTACCTGGCAGGTGCAGATTGAGCAGAGCCGGTCATAGTTAGGTGCCCAGCGAGACCCATGGGGGCGCTGCTGCCCCTCAAAGAAGCAGGTGTTGGGGTCTCGGGCTCTCCAGGGGCCACTGGGTTTGACAGGTGCTGGGGTGTCAGGGCTGAGCACAGTAGGCAATGAGGGCAGTGTAGCTGCCACTGCTTGAGAAGCCTCAGACTTCTGAGCCTCCTGGAACCCATCCTCAGCCAGGCGCAGACCGCCTGCCTCACATTGGTTGGCAATGTGCACCTGGGAGGAGAGGTAGGCTGCTGGTGGCGATGCCCAGGTTCCCCCTTGCATCTCCACAAGCAGCAGCCAGCTCACCAGGCAGAGACGCCTCATCCCCTGAGTGCCCCTGTGCCCCCCAGGAGGGTGCTATTAGCCACAGCAATCATTCTGGCTGCCAGGGACAGGGTTGTGTGCTGCCAGCCTTGTTATGTATGTACCTTGTATGGCTTCATCCTCCCAAGCAGCAAAGAAGTGTGACACGCTTCCACCCCAAGGACTTGGAGACAGCAAGTGATACAGAGACACACAGCCTAGCCAACCCATCCCCACAGGCCCACACTGCCTGTCTACCTTCCCTTGAAGCTCCCCTTGGGGGTTCCCCTTGGTGGCGATCAGCAGGGAGGCAGTGCCCTGCGCTAGGTGCCGCAGCAGCTCAGGCTCCAGGTCCTTCACCACGCCCTGGGCCTATGAGTAGACAGGATAAGAGATGGAAACAAGGCGCTCTGGGGCTGAGCCTTCCGTTCCCAATTTGCCGATGAGGAAACTGAGAACCAGGGAGGTTAAATGTAGTCTCCAGGGTAGCAAAGCCCATTAGCAACGGCAGGGAGCTCAGAAGCCCAGTGTCTCTGACAGCAAGGCCATGGCAACCCACCCCACTTCAGGGAAGTTGGCCATCCCATCCACTCCTCTGGAGGCCCAGGATATTACATACTACCCAAGGGGTCCCACCAGAGAAGAACACAGGAAAGAGAATGAATAATAAGTAAAGACTGGGGCAGAATCACAGCCAAGGCTGTCTGACTCCTGAGCACGTGCCAGCTCTGCCACACCAGGCAACCTGCTCTCTGAGCACACACACAGACCCTTTATGCTAAAAAGAAGACATTTTCCTAGCTGCCTCTCACCACCACATCCTTACCTCCGGGCCATAGAATCCCTTCAGCAGCCGCCGGGGCCCTGGCATTCCAGGGGGACCGAGGAGGTAGGCAGTAATAGTGCCCTGTTCTGAGCCACCAAGCCCAGCCAGCAGCACTTCATAATGCAGGTGACAGTGGGTATCCAGGGAGAGCCAGGCATGCCCTGCTGCCTGACTCCGCACAGGGGGCAACACCAGGGCGCCTGCCAGGGGCACAGGCAGTGCTGGATCCAGACAGAGGAGAGGTGACAGATGAGAAAGTGGCCTAGAGCAGCCACTCAATCCCAGCATTGCCCATGACCCCCAGCATAGGTTCCAGGAGCTGGCAGACACTGTCCAGGGCTGGACGAGCAGCATGTTTTAGGCCCCTGCACCATGGCAGCAGGAGGGTCTCCTGGTAGGGCCACCCTTTACATCCCCACCTATACATCTCCAGATGCAAGCCTAGAGCTCAGGCAGAGAAAGACACCCCAGGCTCTGGCCCTCTGGCACCATCCCTCGCATGCTTAGAGGACAGCAAAAGGCAGGCAGACCCCTGGGACACTCACTGTTACGGCGGGCTCTGTGCCCATTGTAAGGCAGGGCAGCCACATGCCCCCGCAACTCTCCATCTGGGAAGTCCTTGGTGGCCACATTCAGGAACAGCTCATTCTGCAGCAGCATATGAGCCCCTCGGGCACCCAGCCCCAGGCATATACCCACGGCCTAGGGGGCAGCGCAAGGTGAGCCCTAGCTACAGCCCACCAAATCCCAGATAAACCCCTCCTCAGCTTTCACACAAGCCCAAGATTCTGAAGCCTTTCCATGTTTTGTGCTCCCACTACATCCACACAACAATAACAACTGAATAAGAACTTTGCAGTCCTGGCTGGTGTGGTTCAGTGGATTGAGCACCAGCCTGTGAACCAAAAGGTCACAGGTTCGATTCCCAGTCAGGGCACATGTCTGGCCAGATCCTCAGTTGGAGGCATGCCCAATGTTTCTCTCTTTCTTCCCCCTTTCAAATCAAATCTTTAAAAAAAGAACCTTGCAGGCCCAGGTTCGAGTCCCTCCTCTACCACTTTCTACCTATGTAACAACCCTGAGGAGTTAACCTCTCTGATCCTTCACTTCATCAACTCCAAAGTGAGTACTATGAGGGTCAAAAATAATATAAGTAAGGCAACCAGTATAGTAGGTGGCACATAGAAATGCTCAATAAGGTGTCACAATGATATGATCTTCTGCACTAGTCTCCCTGTCTAACTTCTCTCATTTGACATGAGCTTGCTGAGGACAGGGGCCGCATCTGATTCCTTTGTACTCTATCTAGGTGCTAGCCCGAGTCTCACTAAAACTGTGTCCAGTGAATCAACGCATCAGTGAGAGTACCTGTAAGTGAGTGAATGATGCTGTACATCTCTGCTCACCCAACCCGGTTTCCCACAGCCCCTGCATTGATAGCCAGTACATGGGCCCTGTGGTCCAGCTCTTCCCACAGCACTCACCATGTGTTCTCCTGGCTGGAGTCCAGCCATGTGGCACAGGACGGTGCGCTGGTCCCTCCGCTGAGGTTTGGTCTCCAGTGTCATGGCCACCACCTCACTGCCTGTACTTACTACTTGCACCTGGTGGGCAGGGTTGGGAAAGGCAAACTGGAGTGACAGAGAAGGCCTGGAACCTGAACCACTGCAGGCTAAAGCTCCACCCCACCTTACTGCTCTCCTACCTCCTACAGCCCCTGACTCTTACCTTGCAGATTAGGGAGCCGTTTCCTAGCAGTGTGAGGCTGGCTGAGCCAGCTGCACCCGTCTGAACTGGGTTCAGGGCATCTGCCCCACAAAGGACACTTTGCAGGACTGCAAAGGGCAAGACAAGTGGAAGCAGGCTGGCCCCACGGCCATTCACACCCCCAGCCCCCAGGATTTCCCCCATACCCACCCTGGCCATGCTCTGGCACTTATCTGTGCCTCTCAGTTTTGTGTGCCCAGGGTGCCAGGCTCCACCCTGCCTCACCATCGCAGCTCTGCCTGGCAGCAATGTGTCCACTGATACGCAGCCCTGGTCTACCTGCCCTCTCCAGAGTTATCTGCAGTTCCCCCAGCACTAGCCAGTCCATCTCCTGGGCTGTCAGGTTGGGCAGCACCTCAGCGAAGCCTGTCCCCTAGGGAGAAGGCAGGGTATGGTGGGGCGCGGCAAGAGGCCAGAGCAGGTAGCAGCAAAAGCCAGACCTTTACTCACCTGGGCTGAGGCATTGGCCTGGAGCTCTCGTAATAGCTGCCCCTGGTGTAGAATCTGGAGCTGCAAGGGAACCTGGGCTGGCCCTGCAATGATGGTACATGTGGACACCTCTGAGAGCTAGGGGCCTCCTCACATGCCCTCCCCATATCCCACTTACCCCCGTTCCTGGATTCCAGCAGCCCACGGAAGAGCAGCAAAAAATGCAAGGAATCCTCTGTGTCACTGAGTGTGAGTAGGGTGATGCCCCCTATGCCCTGCTGTGGGTTGTCTTCCAGGGTCAGGATGGCACTGAATGTCTCTGGGGGAGGAAGGACCATGAGAGCTCATCAGAAAGTCCCCTGCTTAGCCCACTGCATTCCTGGGGATGGAGAAGAGAACTTCATGCCCAGAGGCTGTTTGCTCCCTTCACCTGCAGCCAGGGCCCGGTGCCGGATGAGAGGCCCCCAGACCTCCCCTGAAGGATGAGCGGCTGTTACAAGTCCCACATGGAGCTGCTCTGTCCGAAGGAGCCGCAGTGACAACCTAGGCACTGCTCGCCACACCCCACAGACCTGGAGCAGAGAGACAAGACAACCCTACTCAGGCAATATATAGGACAGGCCTGCTAAGAGGCCCAGCTCTGGTGAAGAAGGGATACTGGAAGGAGCCCCCCCCACTCCCCCCCCCCACCCTCCTAGGAAGCCTAATAAGGAACCCTGGATCCAGATGCTGGTGTCGGAGTCCTGGCTCCACCACTTACTAGCTGTGTGACCTTGAGCAAATCACATTCTGTTACTGGGCCTCAATTCCCTCCTCTGTAAAATGTGTATATAATGTCAGTGTCTTCCTCCTACTGGAATGCGGTGAGGACCAAAGCAGACCATGCAGACCGAGCACACTCTCAGCACAGTACCCAAACTGGTTAAATACTCATAAATGACGTCATCTCACCAGGCCATCTTGATTAGGGGTCGCAGGGTGTTCAAACAGGACGCCGCCAGTGGAGTTGGAGAAGCGGATTCGGGTTGGACGACGGTCGAGCCTGGGAATGAGGGTAAGGGTGAGCACCGACTCTGAGCCTGGGCCAGAAGCAGCCGGTCCAGGTTCTCTCTAATCTTCCGCCCCAGCACGCAGCCCAGCTCTCCTCCCTCCCTCCCTCCCTCCTTCCCCTTTCTCACTGCCGGTAGGAGATGGAGAAGCGCAGGCTAGAGCGCAGCAGTATCACTCGGGCCCGTGCCACGGCCTGCGACCTCGGCCCTGTCAGCAGTGCCACAAAGTCTGCGAGGGGAGGAAGATGCTCCTAGTATCGTCACCCGCTGTGGCGGCCAGGCCAGAATCACCACCCGAGTCCCAGCCCGGTCCCTGCCTACCCGTGTAGCCATCTCCCCTCTCCCGGCCCTCAGCTCCCGACTCCCCGCGGTCTCTGTAGCTGCGGTGCTCTGGGTCACGCGGATACTCGGAGACCAGGCCCGTGGGCTGCGTCTTGGGAACGCTGCGCTCTGTGTCAGTGGTGGGGGACGTTTCAGCCGGGCACTGGGAGAGTCGTTTGGCCTCTCCACCCGCTGTATCTGCTCCATCTGCCCCGTACTCGGGGCTCAGGATCAAATACCACACAGTCCAGCCGCCCTCCCCTCACCACGCAGCGGGCCTTACCCTCGGGGCAAGTCTGGCAGCAGTGTCCGGGCAGCTGGCGCGGGTCTCCGCAGGACGGGGCTGGGCACTCGGGTTTGATGTTCTTGCAGCTGACCTTGCCCGGGCCCTTCGAGCGGGGACCCCGCTGAGGCTGCTCTCGGAAAAGACGGGAAAACTGAGTGCAAGCCGCCAATCCGTAAGTCCCAACGAGGAGAGGGGTGTTGGGGAGGGTGGGAGAGCCAGAGACCGAGGCAAGCTTGTCCCACGGAGGCAGACCACTCTGCTACTTACAAGCTGCGAGACCCCAGACAAGTTACTTAAGCTCTCTGGGCCTTGGGGACCCTATCTGAAAAACGGGGATAATAACAGTTTCTACCTAGGAGGGTTGTACCAGGAGCTCCTAAGTGAGAGGGAGACGAAATGGAGCAGGCAAAGAGCGTGACACATAGTGGGTGATCAATAATAGTCAATACCTGAGACTTGAAGGGGGGGGCTTCCTCCCCCCGTCCTCCGCCAAGAAAATACCGTAAGTATCTGCAGGCTCACTTCTTTCTCCTCAGCAGCTCGAGTCCAGTCCGATGTCCCAGGACCCCAGCGCTCCCCCACCCGCCAGGGTCCCGGCCACTCACCGTCTCGCAGGCGCACAGCATGCAGCGCATCACCCCGAAGGGTTCCCCCAGGTCTGGGTGCCACGTCTCGTCCAAGGCATAGACTTTCTCGCCGAAGGCGCAGCCTGCGGGGACGGACTTGGCTGGCAGCTGCTGTCCCGCTCCGCTCCTGTCGTGTGCCCGCCCTGGGCGCTGCCGGCGGGCTCTGGGTTCCTGGGCACCGCGAGCCCCGCGACCCCCGCGCACCCCTAGGCCACCCGCCGAGCCAAACCACCTGCGCCGGCGCCCGCGCCCCCTCCGGGAGGGGAAGGACTTGCCCCACGCCGACTTTCCTCTCGCACCTCCCCGGGGCTCCCACCTACCTGTCGCTCCCGGAATGGGCAGCGGCTCCTCCTCGGGACGAATGGGCAGCGGCGGGGGCTCAGGGCTGGCGCCGCGGGCCGACCGGGGGCCGAGCAGCAGCAGCCCGAGGAGGAGCAGCAGCGGGGCCGGCAGGGACGGCAGGCTCGGCATGACGCGAACGGGACAGCTGGGGAGGCGGGAGGGAGGAGGGAGCCGGGGAGGGAGGAGGGAGGAGGAAGGAGGAGGAGGGCCGGGCCGGGGGCGGTGCGGCGGGAGGGGGCCGGGGCCAGGGCCCGGGCAGTACGAGGGGCTCGTCGGACGGCCGCGGAGTAGGCGTGGGGCCAGGCGGGAGGAGCGGCCAGGAGGAGCGCGGGCAGACGGGCGCTGACCTGGGCCGTACGAGGCTCTAGTGCCCTGGGCGCCGGCGCTGGCCCGCTTTATGCCCCGCGCTCCGCACCCCAGCCGGGGGCCTCCTCCTCAGTAAACCCGGAGGCGGCGGCCGTGGCTCGGCGAGGGGCCGGGCTGAGCCCCGGGGGTCCGGCCCAGCAGCCGCGGCCCGGATCGCGAGTGGGGGAGGGGAGGGAGGGGCTGGGACCGGGCAGGGGAGGAGGGAGGGGCTGGAGTGGAAGGGGGAGCGAAGGGGGTGGGGGGAGAGGAAGGACTGGGGGCGCGAAGAGGGGAGGAGAGGCAGGTCTGGAGCACCCACCCCATCGGCCCCCACTTTGCGGTGGCTGGACCGGGCAGGAGGTGCGAGTCCGGCTCCGGATGAGAGCCCCAGGCCAGGGAGTGGCAACGGCTAGGCCTGAGGCCTGGGCCGGCCACCAACGTGGCTAGCATTCGGTTCCTGCGGGAAGGATGAAGATTTGTCTGTGAGGATGACACCGTGCGGTGCAGCTGGGGGGCCAGTCAACTGATCTGCCCCTGACCCTGGGCTCAGAGCAGCTCTCAGACCCCACACCACCCACTTCCACTGCCTAGCACACATCCCCACCTCTTCTCTGAGGTCTGTCCTCATTCTACTGTTCACCAGGACAGGGACTTAGCCAGACACAGACGGTGTCCTCTCTGGATGGTGACGGTGTTTCCTTCCCTACTGTATAACCTGTGCTCAAGCCCACCCAACCATCATCATCTCCAGCCTGATATGCTTTCTCGCCCTCTTCCTCCCTCCTGCCCCCCCCGACCCCACCCTCACTGCTCCAAAGGACGTCAGCCTCCTCTGTCCAGGTTTGCTGGTCATGACTGCCACTCTGTCCCCTCCCACCCCACACAGCATCCCAACTATCTCAGCACCCTCTTTCCTAATCTTGGGAGGCATCTCATCTGGCTGAAATGGAGAATTCCAGGATCTAGGTCATACTCCTTAGCGGACAGCCCCATCCTGGGGAAGAGGAGAAGGAGAGAGCCTGATGAAGACCTAGTGGGAGCAGGAACAGTGTCAAGCAAGGAGGCCCTGAGGACAGAGGTTGGGGGGAGACTGGGATCAAGGGAAAAGCAAAAGAACTAGAGCCAGGGCCAAAGGAAGAGGGGGCCAGGCTGGCAGGGGGTATTCGGGGGCAGGGGTAAGGGGGAGGTTCAGCATCTGTCTTTCCTAAGACAAGGTCACATGAGCCTTCCTCTTGTCACATGTGGAACGGTAGGAGATGGAAGAGGGGGAAAGACTAGCAAGCAGAGGGAAACACGGGCAGAGATAAGTGGGCTTAGCTATCTGAGCCGATGAGCCCCAGCAGAGGAGCACCTGAGCCCAACACACACGCCCCTCACAGCACAGTCCTTTCACGCTGTCCGCACCCTTTCCTGGTAACAGTGACCCCTGGCAGAGTTATTCTCTACTACAGGCAATACCCATGTTCCCACTCAGAAAGGGATTATAAGGCATGACCCCCTAGGGTTTATTGGAGAGAAAAACAGGAAAGCAAGAGTCTTATTGGATTTCAGCAGCAGGTGCAGTATCCAGGGAGAAGAAATTTAGCCAGCCAGGAGCTGGAAACAAAAATGTCCTGCTAGATTCCTCCTGGAAAAAAGACGTTCCACTCCCATCTCCTCTCCAGCCAGGTTTAAGGTTGCCCATTTCCTAGAAAAAGAAAGATCGTCCAGGTGGTGTGTGCAGGTGGAGGAGCTGGGCTACACTAGTAGACTATGGTCCAGGCAGGGACTCCAGGTCCAGCGAGGGTGGGAAGAGAAGGCGTCACTTCCGGAGGCCCTCACCAGTGTCTGGTGGCTCCCTGCTCTCTGATTGGGCAGAAGTGGCCCCGGGCAGGCGTGTGTCCCCACTGCCGTGGAGGGGCTATGCCCCAACGCCACATGCTTTCCTACCCATCCGCTCCCCAGAGTGCTGCCTGCTCTGCACCTGGGTCCTGGAGTCCTTCTCTGCCTGGTGAGTGGCAAGCAGGGTTTGGAGTTAAATGAGGGTAGGAAGGACAGGAAAGAAGAATTGGGCTCTCAGCTGGGGGAGGGGTAGGCAAACTGGAACCTACAGACACTGACCTTTGTCAGGAAGAGTGTGGCCTTCCCAGAATGGGAGGAGTAGGGCAGAGCAGGGGTAGGGGGTGGGGTGCTGAGTTCTGAGGGACTGATCACAGATTTAGTGGAACACAGCACAGTCCTGGTTGGCACCAAAGAAAGGGAACATGGGCTCAGGGAGAAAGTGAGAAAGGAGGTGTATTAGGGCTTAGGGAACACAGCAGCAAAGTGGACACAGCTCCAATCCACATTCTTTCCCAGTCATTCCTAGTTAGCTTAAGGTTCTGAATCCAGGAGCTGGGAAGCTGGGTCAGGCCAGCCAGGGCACAAGGAGAGGGTAATGGGAGGAGGGCTCATGCATGTTGACAGACCTACAGGAAATCCCAATATTGAATCAGGTGCAGGCCTCTTTGTACAACTTGTGAAAGAAGGAGGAAGTCATGTGGGGGGTCCTGTGAAGTAACCGGAAGGGTCTGAAGAGGGGGCAGGGAGGAAGGTGTGGGCTATGAGACAGACATGGTGGGCAGCCAAGGCGAGGTACACCATGTAAGGTGGGCATCCTCTCACTGAGTAGGTATTCATTCCTGAACAACTTGCCTAAGAAAAGAAGTCTCAAGAATGTTAGCCTATCTCTTTTGCTGGGAAAACCCAGTATTTCAGAACTTGGAGTGCAAAGAAAAACTCCAAGAGGTTTTATGTGTAAGTAGGGAAAGAATGAGAGATTAATTTCTCCTGTACCATCTTCTCTTAATCTTTTTTTTTCTAAAGATTTTATTTATTTATTTTTAGAGAGAGGGGAAGGGAAGGAGAAAGAGGGAGAGAAACCTCAGTTGCCTCTCACACACCCCCAACTGGGGACCTGGCCCCCAACCCAGGCATGTGCCCTGACTGGGAATCAAACTGACAACCTTTTGGTTTGCAGGCTGGCACTCAATCCACTCAATCCACTGAGCCACACCAGCCAGGGCACTTCTCTTAATCTTTTAATCACCGACCTCTAGTAGTTAAGTTTGGGTTTGTTTTTTTCCCTAATTCAGCCCCACTGCCCCAGCTTCCCCTCAATATATTGTACATGTTTGCTGGTTCCCTATCGTGGCCCTACACCCATTTCCCACCTCTCTTCTCCAGGCTTGTGCCACAATACTTCATTCTCTAACCCCATTCCAGATTTTCTCTATCCAAACAACCAAGGTCGCTCAGAATTTGAGGCCGATTGAGATGTGCATATGTGCACATATACTCCTCCCCCACCCCCAACCCAACCCCCTGCTGCTCTGGGCAGGGGGCAGGGCACCAAACTCCTATCAGATCCACTGAGGCACCCTGGCAAGAAGGATAGACCATATGCTCCCATCGCAAGAAAATGTGGGAGCACTCAGAACTTTAGCAGTTCTAGGCTGGTCAGCATCATAAGCCCTCCCAGAATCTGTAACCCCAGCTAGACAGTCTCTTCCTTAAAACTTGGGTAAGTGTTCATTATTCTTGTCACTTGCAGGACAGAGTCCAGCCCCTCTCCCTTGGCCCACCTGTGCCGTGCCCCACCCCACTCTGCCCAGAAGTGCAAGAGCCCAAGCCGCCTCCATGGCCTCAGGAAGGATTCAGGGGAGAGGCCCCATACAGGGAGCCGCTCCAACAAGACAGCCTGGCCAGAATGGAGCTGACTGGTAAGAACACACCTAAGGGGCTGAGGGCCAAATCTAAACGTGGTAGAGGGGGGAGAGAAAGGCGATATGCTGCAGTGGGCCAGGGAACCTAATTTCCCAGGAATAAGGCATCAGAGTGCCAGATTTCAGGTCTGGATCCTAAACGGAAATTCTTGGACCACCAACCAACAATGATCTCTTCCTTATCCACCCCTTTCAACCTTACCTCTCCTCATCTAAGAACTGGTCCTCGTGGTCACGCTTCTCCTAACTGCAAGACAAACTCAGTCCAGCCCAGCTCCTCCCGCCTGTGACCCACGACTCCTAAATAAACTGCTACGTGACTCCCATGTCCTTCACGGCAGACTGGTGAGAATCCCCAAGCACTGTCCCCTAGATCCATTTTACTGGCAAGAGACCCTCACTCCCATCACTGCCTCTCGCTCCCTGATCCAATCACTGTTCTTGCAATAGTCTTCGGTAAGACAGCCACCTCCTTATCACCACTCCTGACAAGGATTAGGACTTGCAGTCAAGCTCTCCTTTATTTACTTATTTTTTAAAGATTTTATTTATTTATTTTTAGAGAGAAGGGAAGGGAGGGAGAAAGAAGGAGAGAAACGTCAGTGTGTGGTTGCCTCTCATGTGTACCCCACAGGGGACCTGGCCTGGAACTCCAGCTCTCCTTTAAAACCTCACGGAAGCCCCTCCTGGTCATTGGGTCACCATAACCCACCCCTCATTTCAGCTCCCTTCTCTGCCCCTCCCCACCAACCTTCTTCCACAGAGTCAGTGCCCAGACATTAACCCTTTGTCCATACCTGTGCTGCTGCCTGCTGTGGACTTCAGCTTGGGAGAATGGAAAACCCAGACGGTAAGAAAGCCATCCCTTCCCTTGGTGTTTCTAAGTCCTGTCTTCGTCAGTTTCCTACTGCTTCCCATGGATTCTTCAAAATTCCTGAACTCACTGAAAATATCTCACCTTCAGCTTGGCCACTCTAACTCAATCTACATTCTACTATGATAATGTCCTTTGGACAAGGTGATGGCTGGCAGTTCCAGTATGGTAAATAGATTCAAATCTGAATACTATGAAAAGCTGAAGAGAATTCTCTCATGGGCCATGCCTTTGACTTATTCCCATTCAAGATTCTTAAGGTGGCACGAAGAAGTGAGATTGATCTGTCATCCAAAGATGACACAAAGCTGGGAACCACAACAAAAACAACAAAGGACACAATCAAGATTCAAACCCCTGAAAGGCAATGTTCAAACATGGTAAAATTTGACAGAGATGCGTGAAAATTCCACATGTGTAAAGTAATTGGGTAAAGTCCTATTCTAGCTTTCAGGTCACAAAGCCCCTGCTTCCCTCATATAAACTTTTAGCTCTGGAATTGTCTCTCTTTCTTAAGATTTTATTTATTTATTTTTAGAAAAAGGGGAAGGGAGGGAGAAAGAGAGGGAGAGAAACATCAATGTGCCATTGCCTCTTGTGCACCCCCAACTGGGGACCTGGCCCACAACCCAGGCATATGCTCTGACTGGGAATCGAACCTGCAACCCTTTGGTCTGCAGGCTGGTGGCACTCAATCCACTGAGCCACACGAGCCAGGACAGAGCAACTATTTTAAAAGCTAGCAATTCTAGGCTGCTTTAGACATTTAGCACCAACAATGTGGAAATATTCCTCTAAAATTCTGAGTGGACTGCACTTAAAAATACTGGCCTGAGGATTAGCCTCCTCTGGACACAGGCTAATTTATTCAGAGGGATCCATTAAACTAGCATGTGTCCAGGAGGAAGCCACCCAAACAGTAAGAGATTAGAAAACATATGAGGAGTAATTTTTTTAAAAAGAAGCCTGTCTGATTAGCTTGTAGGAAGTGGCAGTCCTATGAGATAGAATGAAGTGCTTCAGTCTAACGCTCAGAAAAAGTACTGAGAGGGAGCACTCCTTGGTAGGTCAGCTCTCCTACCCTCGAGATCCTGGGAATCCCGTTCTTCCCTCAGATCTCGGGGGACTGGGCTGGGGAAGGGCAGTTCCTAGGGACCCCCTGCAGTTCCAGCTCTGCCATGTGTCAGTAAACCTTCTCTTCATCTTTATGCTGTTTGTGATGGTCTCATGTCTACACTGACTTAAAAAAGAACCACATGACCCTAAGATTTTGTAGCAGAGATTTGCAACACTAGAACCAAGAGGTAAAAGCTATAAAAGGACAGGTTTCAGTATAATGAAAGAAGAGCTTTTCTGACTGAAATTAAGTGTAAGACCAGGCTGGTTTACCGGACACTGGAGTTATTCAGGCAGAGGCTGATGACCAATTGTCGGGAGACTGTGAAAGAATTCCTGTGCTGGGTGCGACCTTGGTCCTGTCCAATTCTCAGCTTCTATGATTCATTCTGCTGGCTACTCCCACAGGCTCCCCACCCGCTATTAGCCTGCCCTTTGAAGCAGTGCACTTCTCTCTTCCATCTCTTTTCCCAGGAACAGACCAAGGCACAGGACGTCCTGGGAGCAACAGCCCTTCTGCTGGAGGGAGTGATGGCAGCACGGGGACAGCTGGGACCCACTTGCCTCTCATCCCTACTGGGACAGCTTTCTGGACGGGTCCGCCTCCTCCTTGGGGCCCTGCAGGGCCTCCTAGGAACCCAGGTAAATCCCCAGTCAAGGGAACTATAGCAATTGTCCTTCTTTTCTGACTCAGTCTCCTTAGAAGACCTGAGGGAAGAGGAATTCTAGGAATCTTGAGGTAAAGGAGATGACCTACTAAGAATGCTCCCTCCCAGCCATAAGGCCTGAGACAGAGACAAGGGAGGCATGGCATCTGGCCCTGGTCTCTGGCCTCAGGCCCATCCTCTGCCCTCAGCTTCCTCTACAGGGCAGGACTGCAGCTTACAGAGATCCCAATGCCATCTTCCTGAGCTTCCAGCAACTGCTCCGAGGAAAGGTGCGTTTCCTGCTGCATGCAGTAGGGCCCACCCTTTGTGCCGAGCAGGCCCTGCCCACCACAGCTGCCCCACGCAGTGCCTCTCTATTGCTCACACTGAACAAGCTTCCAAACAGGACTTCTGGATTGTCGGAGACAAACTCCAGTGTCTCCGCCAAAACTACTGGCTCTGGTCTTCTGAAGAGGCTGCAAGGATTCAGAGCCAAGGTTCCTGGTCTGCTGAACCAAACCTCCAGGTCCCTAGACCAAATCCCAGGACACCTGAACGGGACACATGGACCTTTGAATGGAACTCATGGACTCTTTCCAGAACCCTCGCCCAGGGCCCTGGGAACCCTGAACATTCCTCCAGGAGCTTCGGACACAAACTCCCTGCCCCCCAGCCCCCAGCCTGGATATTCTCCTTCCCTAACCCATCCTCCCCCTGGACGACATACACTCTTCTCCCCCTCACCCACTTTGCCCACCCCCATGGTCAAGCTCCAACTCCCTCCTCCCGGCCCCTCTGCTATCATGCTCAACCCGACCAGTCCTCTTCTAACTGCAGCACACCCTCACTCCCAGGATCTGTCTCAGGAACAGTGAGGTTCTCAGACACTGCCAACAGCAGCACTGTCCCCCCTCCCCTGTGTAGTTCTCTCACCCGGAGGAGAGCCCTGGGAGACAACTGCAGCCCTGCCAGAGTCCCTGCTTTCACCTGAAACACCCAGCCCTGGTAAAAGTGAATACACAGGACGGGAACTGGGGTCATTTTTCAGTTTGAAACACCAGAAGCTATTTTTTTAAGCTATCAATAATATTCAGCAGAGCAGCTAGTTATCTTCGGTCTATTTTCTGCACAAATGTCCAAATTACAAATTCTCCATGTTTTTTCATACAATAATTCCTCAAAGGCCTGGACCGGCCTGGCCTCTGAACAGAGGTAGAGACTAATCTTCTGTGAGAAAAACAGAAAAACGAGCTTTGGTTTCTATTCAAAACTAAAGTTAGTCTCTTTACCCCCTTTTACCATCATTCTCAATAGGACTCTGATCTCCTTTTCTTAGGAGATTCTTACTCTTGAGAAATGAATGAGAAGTTGTCTCCCAGAAAGACTGTCCCTACATAATAGACAAAACTGAGCCTGGATAAAATAAAGAATGAATGAGAGTACCCAAAAGCTAACTGAAAAGAAAGAGCACAACGTTCGTCTCAGGGAGTAATAGTTCTGTCGCTCCCTAAAAAAAAAAAAAAAAAAAAAGCTAACAGGAAGTCTAGGAGTGCCTCACACCTCAGGTAAGCCTGTGCAGACAGTTCAGTCAAGAGGAGACCTGCATGTGACAGCTGAGCAAACAGGGAGAGCTTCAGCAGCTCAGTGGGAAGCTTCGCCAGGCTTGGGTTCCTGCCTCCCTCCTGTGGAGGTCAGGGGGAAGTGCAGGAAGTGCCATGAGTCGGTCTCCTGGGGCTCACACAGCAGGAGAGACAAGTACAACTCAAGTACAAGTTGAAGGCTCATTTCCCAGTTCCCAGAAGTGAATGGTATCTAAAAAGTGACCTTGTGTGACCGCTGTGAACTCTGGGAGGGGATCTCTAGAAAAGAAGCCAGGGTTATGGGGCTTTGCCAATAAATGTCATCTTGGTGCTTAGAAAGTTTCTATTGCCCCAAACAAAAACTCCACTGCAAAGGTCACCACCACATCCAGAGGCTCCTGTAGGGAAAACTAATGGAAGTTTTACCTCTTCCTCCCTACCAAAAGGAGAGGAAAGGCTGCTGTGTAGGTAGAGGAGCCAGGAAGCCAGAGTTCCGGACACTGCCCCAAATACCCCAGGGTCACTGGAGGCATTCTAAAACAGAACGAAAGTCAGTGTGCCAGGAGCCTTAAGTAAATTACATTTTCTTAAGGCTCACATGACTCTTTAAGGCAACTAGTATCATCTCTATTTTATAGATGAGGAAAACAACCAAGGCTCAGAGAAGCCAGGCAAGTTCCTGAAGTTTTCACAGCTTGTGAGCAGGAAAGGAAGAAACACTCAAGGCTGACAGTCTGGAGCCCATACTGTCCTCAGTGCAGGACGCTGTCCCATATAGTATTCAGTGACTCTGTTTATTGGGAAAAGTTCCCAAGTCCTTGAGGAGGAAATACATCAACACCTCAAAGAGTTCTGCGTAGAAAATCAAAGCTCTTAGTAGGGGTGACCAATTTAGACATTTCCAGGTGTCCCTCCCCCCAACATGAACAGAACAGTTGCCATGGAGAAGGAATCAACAAATGCACAAAGCTTAAAAGTATTGTCCAGATCGCAGATGCTGTCAGTTTCTTCATGGGAAAGAATCAGTTCATCCACACTACAAATTCCAGGAGGTCGTCAAGGGATTTGGTAAGTGGAAATTTTCATTTACTGCAGTACTAAGGTAGATTAAATCTAATAATCAAATGAAACCCATTATGGTACATGAAATAGGCAGCACCCAGGACCAGATATGCCAAAGGGACCAAAGACAAAGAATTAGGGATTCTCAACACAGTCAGATGAGACAAAGATAGCAAAACTGCAAAAGGCATGTAGCCAAAATTTCGGGCTTCCAGTATCAGCATTTGACTTACTCCAGAGCAAATGCAAATAACTGATGGGCTTCTCCAGTGTGAATTAATCTGCACCTACAGAAGATCTAACCTATTCCCAAATCATTCTGTCTCTTCTTCCTTTTACACACACACATATACACACATTTACAGCCAGAGCACTGCTATCTCTATTCAACTGTATGCCAATTCTTTCTTCTGCCACCCCAGAGCAGCTAGGACAGTCTGCTCTGCCACCCACAAACTACTACTGGTGATTAATTAGGTTCTCCCACTTAAATTCATCCTTCTCCATCCACACCCGCCCCCCAAAATTTGACTCCTTGGAAAGGTTCTAGGATTCCATAAAAATTCATCCCAACCCCCACTACATTTCCAATTTCCCTCTCCACCCTCCCTGCCCCATACTAGGGCAAAAGAAACACCTTTACTTGCACCCTGCAGGGACCATTCACTTTCAACCCATTTCCCTAAATACTCTAACACCTCATGAAAGACCTGAAAATGATGGGGAAGGAGATACCCCAGGCATCCCACCAGGGAACCAGCTCCCCCGGCAAAATGAGAGATCAAAAGAGACTACTGCTTAATACACCCAAACTTTCTGGATAGTTACCCTGAATTTCCCAGGGGACATCAGAGTCCCAGGTATTTTCTCAGAGGCCTTGAATGCCAGGTGAAGAACCAGCTCCTATGCTGGGGTCCTTGTAAGCATCATCATTTCCCCAACAGAGTTCTTCCCCCACTCTCAAGTTAGTGACCGTGGTCAAGCTGCTGCATTGTCCCAGGCACTGGCACTGGACTGCCAACCTCATTGGTATTAGTGCCCTGTCCACTTCACTGGTCTGTGCAGCAGCCCTCTGTTCAGTGTCACTGGTAAGAAACACCACTTACCCTCCCTCCAGGTCACCACTAGAATACAGAGCAGTCAGCCTGCTCCTGCACCTGCTTCCATACCCACCAAATGCACTCTTCCTACTCTCTTCATAGTCGTGTCCCATGCTTACGTCTAAAAGCCTCTATCCAAAGCTTCCATAAAAATGATGAACATTTCCGGGCTACACGAGTGACTCATTCAAGTCAACATCATCTGACTTCTTAAGACTTAAAGTGTTGGAAGGACACCAGCAGGGCTTCTCGCCAACCCAAAACTCTATGCCAAACGGGTGTTATCTTCTGGGCTTGGGTGGCACCGGGAGCCAAAAGCATGATACTCTCTCTCACACAAAAAATCATATTGCAGGATAAATGTTGGGGACAGTCAGCCAAGAGTCTGAGAAATCCTGAACCCAGATACCAAAAGTCTAGCACAGATCCATCACCTCCCATGTGATCATCAGACTATGGGCCAGAGATGTAATATACCACAGGCAAATTGGAAAAAAAAAATGATTTTAAAGTAAATGGAAAAAAATCTCTAAGAGAAGAAAACGTCTGCAAAAAGTAAAATTTAATTTTAAAAATCATATACACAAAACAACTTCTGACTCATTTGAAACTCTCCCACAGGCAAGACAGTTTTCCATTGAGTCCAGACGCCCTACAGATGCGCCCACACCTCTGGGTGGACAGAGAGCCAGCTCCTCCTGAGCAGGTGAACAACAGCACCTGCTGCTCAGGCTTGAACAAATGTCCAAGACCTGAATGACCAGGCAGCAAGGCTGGCTTCCCAGGTGGTTCAGAAGGCCAGTTTCTTCATCAGCAGATAAACTCTGGAATCCACTTCAAATCCATGCAGGTTGTTGGCATCACCCTGCAGCCTCATGAGCAGGCCCCCATAGGACACATAGGCAGAGCTGAAACAGAAGGACCAGTCCCATGAGTCTAAGCTTTGGAGCAGCTGTTACTCAGAAGCTCTCTAGTCCAGTCTAAGAAAACAAGGCACCCTCCTAATGTTCAGTCATTAGGAACCAAAATTCACACAAAGATGAATGTACGGACATGTGCAAGGCATATTCTTTATATTAGCAAAGGTGGGGAATACTACATGCCCAGAATAAAGGAAATGGTCGAATCAATTAAGATATACCCATTTACCAGAATGTTATACAGCTATGAAAATGCTTAGGAAAGCTCTCAACTGACATGAGGAAACATGTTTTATACAACATTATTATTAAGCATAAAGAGAACATTGTAGTAAACAACATGATCTCAAAGCAAAAACCACACAGGAAAAAAAACCTAAATTATTCAAAAATGTTTATGTAAAAAGTTCCTGCTGGGTATGGAATTGTAGGTGACTTTTTTCCTTCTTGACATTACCTTCCTGCTTTTCATACTTCCTACAAAGGGCACACATTGTTTTAATAAGATTTTAAAGAAAAGAAAAAATAGCTGGGCAGGGAAACCAAAGAACTAGGGGTTGGGTTGCAGAGTAGGAACATACACACACACCTAGCGGTTTAATTATTTAATGCTGCATTTGTCTCCTGTGGAAGCCACCTTCCCTTGCATGGCACACAGCAGGACTGTCAGTTTCCCATCTGGGCTATCAGAGCCAAGGCCCTGACAAAGGACAGAGAGAGCAGCCTACAGTTCAGACTGAAAACTGTTCCCGCAACTTTCTTTCTGGGTCCCACTTGGGTCAGATGTGCTTGAGGAAAGGGACCTAACACAGGAAGCAGAAGCATGGTCCAAATTCTCAGAACAGGGTGGGATGAAAGGATTCTCACAAGACCAAGGAACTTACAGACGTGTTGCTGCTTCAGTAGAAGTCTCGTCTCCCTCAATCCTGTACACTTTCCCATACATTACATACTCAAATTGGTCAGCCCTGTAGAACAATAGCGGCAGTTATTCTTAAAAATAGTTAATAAGAGCTTCTTTAAAAGTGGTAACTGCTAATTAAGTGCCAGCATTATAATAGGCCTTTCTTTTTTAATTGAGTTGGGGGGGGTGGGGAGAAACATCAATTTGTTGTGCCACTTATTTTTTTTTTTTTGAGAAACAAAAGCCAAGTTTATTTGTTCATTTCTTGCACTTGAAGTACTCCTCGAAGACATCCTTTGCCTGAGACTCTTTGCCTTAGTCCTTAAACACCACACAACTGCAACCAACCACTTTAAGGAGTTTTCCCTCTGTCGATCTTACAGAGGCCTACCCATTCCCCTACTTTCTTATTATCGTCAACCTTAATTAGGTTGATTTGGTGTTCAGCACAGAGGGTCTCCATCAACTTGACATACATGGGCTCATCACAGTTGGATGCAAGCACACAAAAGTGGGCATGGCACTTGTCTAAGGCCTTGGCAGCTTCTCGAATTCTGTGCACTAGGCCATCGTGAATGAGGGTGGTCTTCGGCACCTCCTGTAAAGCTGTATTTATGTCCATTACACCTCCAGCAGCAATGCCTTCCTTGGGACGGTGGTGGGTTATGGGTGGAGCATAATCTTGAACATACCCAAGCCTCCACCTCCATGCAGCTCTGAGGCGGCAAGGAAAGAGGACTTGTGCCACTTATTAATCATTCATTGGTTGGTTCTTGTATGTGCCCTGACCAGGGATGGAATACACAATTTTGGAGCGTCATTATGATGCTCTAACCAACTGTGCTACCCAGCCAGTGCACAACATGCACTTCCCAAACACAATGTCTTCTAGTCTTCACAGCAAACCTGTGAGCTAGGTACGAACATCGGTCTTTTACTGATGAGGAAACTGAGGCTGGAAAAGGTTAAGGTTATTCAACAAATGAGTGGTAGACTGAGATCTGAATTCAGTGGGACTCCAAACTCCCATCACACCAAACTCCCCAACAGGACCCAAGGTCCACACAGCCTAGGTAACCCAGTGATCATTTCCTCAGCCATCAGACAGCTAAAACTCACAAGCATGCCATCACTGCTCTGAATAAACAGCTGGTTGTTTAAATTCTTACTGCAGCAATTTCCTTAAAATTCTTCCAATTAGAAACACTTATTCCATGAATTAAATAAGGGTTTTTCTATACCACTTATCTACTTAGTCCTCGGGCATAGTTCAAAGTACTCCCTTCTCCACTCGCTCACCTGGAAGGTCTATCATCTGTGGGGTTGTATTCACCATCATCCAGGGTACCATCTTCATACAAGGTACTAGCTATGACCAACCGGAACTTATCACCTGAAAGTAACAGCAATATCTGAGGGTGAAGAACAGTTGATATGGCAAAAAGTCTCCTGCATTGCTTGTGTTCAATACTCACCCAAGTCTACAGGGTAAATCTGAATGTTTACATCTAAGATAAGGTCCATCTTGAAAGATTCGCTCTCACAATGCAGTCGAGACACTGGAGAGAAGTAGAGGAAGAGTGGCAAAGTTAATTGCCTGACCCAGACCTACCCTTGCAGATCACAATCTGGGGACTACATGAAACAGAAGAGTCAATGCAACCCAGTCAATAACCACTGGCCTCTCATCTGCCCTCACAGAAGTGCAGGCTCAATCAGAACCAGATATGCAAGAACGAAAAGGGAGAAAGACTGTTTAGTGGACACGATCCCCACAAAAAAATCCACAGTCCTCTGGCAACAAATGATATCCAGATTCTAGGCCTGCCCAGGTGATTAAGAAACAACCTGACTTTATGCAAGTTATTCATTCATCCAAAGGTTTTGTCTTTCTGTGCCAGGTGCTGAGGGGATTATCATGACATGTAAGCAGTGGCATTCATCTTGAAGAACATCTCAGTCTCCAGGTAAAGGGTGAGAAACCAGAGAGGAACAATTATTGATCAATGACAGAATAAAGAGCAACTCTTTATTATTCTAAGTAGTCAACTCTCACTCAGAGAGTGCTTCACAAAGAGCTAAAGATTCTAAGGACAACACACGCACATAGGTGGAAAGAGACTTGACTTTGGGCGATGGGCACATGAGGCAGTGTGCAGATGATGTTTTGTTGAACTGTATACTTGAAACCTGTATGGTTTTGTGAACCAACGTCACCCCAATAAAAAAATAAAAGCAAACAAAAAAAATAAAAAAAATAAAAAAGCAAACAAAAGAATATAGGTTCCGGTGTCGGATTACTGGCTGTGAAGCCTTGGTTGGGTTACTTAACTACTCCGAGAAAAATGGGTAAGACACCACCTACCTCGTGGAGACTCTTGAAAGAAATAAGACAAAGCGTGCAACGTGCACAGTACAGCGCCTAGCACACAGCGGGCAGCGATTAGAAAGACGCCCAGAAGTTTCCTAGCACCTCGATAAAAGGCCACCCAGGTCCCGGGGGCACAGCATGTGTGAATCCAAGGAGAGCTCGGAGTCTCCGTTCTCTCATCTATGAAACGTTTCCTGAGGGAGGGGTTCCTACATCAGGACCTGCAGGTAGGGGGCAGGCAACATGAATTGGGTGGACCAGGAGCCCAGGGGTGTGTCCCCAAGGACCAGATTATCCCCTTATCCCAAACAGCCTCTACATACCTTACTTACCTCGGTCAAACTTCTTGCCCTCCGGGTCAATGTCTTTCACATCAAAAATATCTTCAAACAGAATGCCCGCCATGGTGAAAGAGCCACGAGAATAGCACAGGGAGATGAGCGCGCAACCACGACTAGGGGTACGCGCAAACCCCCGCGTGGAGAAAAGGAGGGGAGAGAGGAAAAAGTAGCGACTGATGAGCTGCAGCAAGGAAATAGAAGAACGCATGCGCACGAACAGGCAGTCAGCCGGCCACTTCCGTCGCCCGGCTGTCGGGGCTTCCTAACTTCCGCTTCGAACCCCTGTTTCCGAAATACTTCAGAAATTTGAGGGCGTGTCCAGATTCAGATAACCCCGCCCCTGGGCGGGATCACGATCGATGGGCCCCACCTCCCGTCGAGGTGGCGCGGTTTCTCATCCTCTGCTGAGGCTCTTCTGCGCCCTCTTCAGGGATCCTGTTGGAAAAACTGGAATGCACGGGGGCCTACCTCAGCCAGGGACCTTGATCCTTGGCCCAGAGAAGCCCGGCCCTAGCCCTCCCTTGCTGGTCTGCTCGCCCGACTAGGGCACAGTCCGCGCCGAGAAAGGGCGGAGCAGAACACCGCCCACAGGGCGCTGGTTCCTCAGGGCGCAGTAACCAGCCCCTCCAGCTGGCACCAAGGCCCCTAAGGCCGGCCCCGGCCAGCTTGGCCCTGCGGGATGTCACCCGAGCTGGGTCCTTTCAGTTTGGGAATTTGCCATGATGTCACTATGGGGAAGAGGAAAGTCTGCACTGTCCCCTCCCTGGTACTGTACCCTCCCCACCACTGTCCTCTCCCTCTGAGCTCTACTCTCTTCCCCCACAGCGCCCCACAGCCTGGCACTGACCCCATCACACTGCCCTCCTGAGCACTGACCTTCCTCCTCCACAGTCTTCTTCCTCTCAACAATGAGCGCCTATGTGCCCCTTCGTCCTGGCCCTGTCCTCTCCCACGGATACTCTTCCCTTACATTGCCCCTTCCTCTTGAGTGCTGGCTCCTCACACTGCCCCCCTCCTTCGGGGCACCACCTCTGCCTCCCACATGTCCCTTCATCCTGGTACTGCCTCCTCCGATACATTGCCTATTTCCTGGGCACTAGTCTCTCCCCTGACACTATCTCTGACACACACACAGCCCATCCACCGTGTGTTCACTCCACCCTCGGCTCTACCCTTCTCCGGACCTTGATAGAGAACCAAGAGCCCCATCAAGCCATTCCTCCTTAGTGGCAAGACGTCAGAAGCTACTCGAGTTTCTCCTTGGGCCCTGCCAGGAAGAAGCGACCTCTGCACCCCGCCGCCCGCCCCCCACGCCCTCCTCCCAGGAGCGGCCCCTCCCGCACCTAGACCTCCGGTCCTTGGGGCCTCATTCTTTCCCTCACCGCCTCCACCCCGCCCCACTTCCCTCACACCCCGCAGTCCAGGTTGCTCCAGGTGCATTTCCCTGGGAGAGCCGCGGGGACCGGGTGGGGGAGGAGGAAGAGAGGGGATGAGAAAGACCAAGGATCACAGCTCTGAACATCGCCCCCCCCCCCCGGGACCTAGTGACCCCCTCCGAGTCCCCACAGCTTTCCTTCTCACTCTCGACGGAGCGGCGGCGCATGTGAGCCGCTGGCCCCTCTGGAGAAGCAAGAGAGGGCACTACTCCAGAGAGAGAAATTAGGGCCTGATGAGCTTGATTTCGACGGCTCTGCCGCCCCAGGCCCCAGGCCCTATTGAGCACGGGTGTCTCCAGCCTCCCGCCCGGGAGCCGGGAGCTTCAGACCCGGCCCAACCCCTCCACGTGCCAGCGGACCCGCCCCCACTGTGGCACCAGGCGCCCCTCTCCGCCTCCAGCCTCTGCGCAGAGGGGTCCTGGGCTAGCGCGTTCCAAGCGCCCCCTACCGCCTCTCCCAAGCCTGGGAGGCGTCCCCAAGGCAGACCCCGACCGGGCTGGGCCGGCCCCTGTGGATGGGCCGGCGGGCGGAGCAGCACCGAGGGCACCGCCCTCGGCCCGCCCGCCGAGGAGGGGACGCGAGCGGGAGGCTCTGCACTCGGCCACCCGGGCTGCGGGGACGGGACGGGTGCCGGCGCGGGCTCAGCGGGCGGGTAGCCGAATCCAGGCCGGAGCCCGACCACAGCGGGAGGCCGGAGGGCTGTGCGCGGAGATGGCGGCCGCAGCGGCCGCGGCAGCGGAGGAAGGGATGGAGCCGCGGGCTCTGCAATACGAGCAGACCCTGGTAAGTGAAGCCGAGCCGAGCCCAAAGGGGTGCGCTCGGGACTGCTGCTCCTGGTTACCTGTAGAAGCGCGAGGACAGGGGGGCCTACCCTAATCTGTCCCAGCCTTGTGAGCTCGAGAAACTGAGGCTGGAAGGCCTGAGAGGCTGGAGGGCTAAGGGACAGGCTGCATGCAGGTTTCTGGGTGAGGCTGGGGACCTGCAGGGGACAAGATCAGGTGCTTGTCCCGGCTGTCCTTCCCTTTACCTCCTCCACCACCACGTTTTCTTTGCTCCTCCCCCCCACCACCTGGTCCCCAGTCTCAGCACCCCACTACCCCTCCCCAGCACCGCTCACACCCGTTAAACTTTATGTCTCTACACTCCTATCTCCACTATCCAGGACATATCCTGTCTGTCCCCAGTAAGTGCGTTTTCTGTACTAGACACAGAAACATGAGTGTGCATAGAAAGACGGCCAGACCCAAACCCAGCCCCTACCCCTTCAGCCTGGCAACCCAGCACTGGCAGGAACCCCTCTGACTAAATAGGTGTGGGGACTGGGACCTTTGTCCATGCTTACTCTGAGTATCCAGCCCCCACCCACCCCAGGGGTCTCCCTTGACCTCATTATAAGCCAGGGTCCTGGGTTCTGAGCTGACTCATGGCCAGCCCCTTCTTGTGTCACTGGGGTGGGGGACTCAAACTCTAGGGAAGAGCTCCTTTTTAAACAGCTGGTCCTGAAATTTGCCCAGGAAGGAGACAGGGAGGGAATCTCTCCAGGAGGAGTGAGCCCCCGGGGCTGTAATTGAGGCTGGGAGGTGCCCAGTTAAGAGAGGGAGTGACAGGATGAAACAGGATGACAGGGAGAGGTGGCAGGGGTGGAGTAGAGCAAGGGTGTTGGGGGAAACTGTCCTGTAAAGTGGGAGGTGTCGGGCCATCTGCATAAGCCAAGAATGGGGCATTGATCAAGGAAGCCAGGTACCTGGCCCTGAAATGTTGCACCAGTCCCATCCTATCTCCTTCGCCTGGTCTTTATCTCTAATATGAGTTCTCAGGATCAAGCTCTCTCCCGGGCACTCTCTGCTCCAGTCTCCCCCTTCTCCTCCTGATTCCTTTGTCTTTCCCTCACAGGTCACCTCCCACTCTGACACTGTGTCTGCCTCTTTATACTCTTTCTTGCTCTCCCTTCCTCCTCCCTTTTTATCCCTTCTCTTCTCTGCTCCTTCTCCAGGTCTCTCTTCTCCCCCTCTTTCTCCTCTCGCTGGTTCCCTCTCCTCCCTTTCCACCCTCTCTATCTCACTCTCTCTGTCTCTATCTTTCCCTTCCTCCTCCCACCACCACCCCCCCCCAGCCCCAACAGGAGCCCTTTGTGTCTCAAAGCTCTGCGGGTGGCAGCCGGAATATACTGCTCCCCACCCCCCAACACACGCCCAGCTTGGCAGGTCTAGCCATGGCTCGGAAACTCTCCCGTCCCATCACCCCAGCATCCCCAGTCACAGCCCAGCCATCAGTTTCTGCTGTCCCTCAAACCACCACCGCTGGATGCAGGGCAGCTCCAGAGTGGGCTGAGGCCACCAAGCACTCCCCACCCACCCAGAGAGACTTTCCACTCCCAGCTGGACTGGCAGGCTGGTGTTTTTGTGTGTGTTGGGGTGGGGGGATGGAGAATAGGAACAAGGGGATTAGGGTGGGTGGAAGGGGTACAGCTGAGTAGGTCACAGGCCAGAAGCCCAGCAGAAACGTGATAAGGATTGAGGCCCCGCCTGCTCCTAGGCCCAACTCAGCTGCCCCCAGCTCCTTGAGGGCCTTATTGTTACCCAGATGCCCTTGACCATCCCTTAGTCTCTGACCTTCCCTCTTCCCACTTTCAGACTGCCTTAGGTTTTTCCATCTCTCTTCCTCTGGGACATTCCCTCCCACTTCTCCTCACTGGCCCTCCCTCCCTCAGGCCTGTGAGAAGAGGACTGATTATTCTGCCACCCCCAGAGCTGAGTCCCTGTACCTTGGCTGTCCCCATCACTCTGGCCAAGACAATCCCATAGTCTGCAATGTGCATTGTTCCCACACCCCAAGCCAAAGTGGGACCTGTGGGTTCAAGAGGGCGTATATAATATGGGGGCTGGGAGAAGGGGAGCTGAGACCCCAGGAGCCCTCCCTGAATCCCCTCTGAGTTCACATGCAGGGCTGCTAACCCGTCTTCCCCATTGCTCAGATGTATGGCCGGTATACTCAGGACCTTGGGGCCTTTGCCAAAGAGGAGGCTGCTCGGATCCGCCTGGGAGGGCCCGAGCCCTGGAGGGGTCCACCTTCCCCTTCAGCTCTCCCAGAGCTCCTGGAATACGGACAGAGCCGTTGTGCCAGATGCCGCAGTGAGACTTGGGTTGGGGCAGGGCAGGGGATCTGGCTGTGCTGCGCTGCGCTGTGCTGTGCTGTGCTGGGGGCGAGGTGGCCATTCACTCCAGCTTCCCACTGGGGGTTGGGGGAGGCAGGGGTCGGAAGCACTTTGGTGTCAACCTCCTCCTTCTCCCTTCCCTGCCCCCAGTCTGTTCGGTACACTGTCATAAGTTCCTAGTGTCCAGGGTCGGTGAAGACTGGATCTTCCTGGTCCTGCTGGGCCTTGTCATGGCGCTGGTCAGCTGGGCCATGGACTACGCCATTGCTGCCTGTCTGCAGGGTAAGGACAAGGGCTGGCAGGGGAGGGCGGGGAAGCACCAATCTGCTTCCTCCATGCCGCACTTGTCCAAGTATGTTGGCTACTTGGCCGGCCCGAGTGCCACCTTTAGACATAATCACTGCCACTCCCACAGGCCACGGCTTCTTGCCTCCCGTCCAGCTGATCCTCTGACCTACAGTGATCTCCATCCCACTGACGGCCCTCCCTCTAGGGCCCTTTGTACCCAGGCTCTGTGTGACATGCCCTGGGACAGTGTGTCATAAAAATATGTCCCACGGGCCAGGCAGGGACTGGGTGTACACTGCATGGCGCAGCAGCATGTCCTCTCCCCACAGCTCAGCAGTGGATGTCTCGGGGCTTGAACACCAGCCTCTTGCTCCAGTACCTGGCCTGGGTCACCTATCCTGTCGTCCTCATCACTTTCTCAGCTGGATTCACACAGATCCTGGCCCCTCAGGCTGTCGGTACTGTAGGAGAGACGGGGAGGGCAGAGGTGGAAGCTCCTGAAGTGGGCACCTCAACTTACTCTCCTGGGACTGCACGCTCTCCAGGGTCCGGCATCCCCGAGATGAAGACCATCTTGCGGGGTGTGGTGCTAAAGGAATACCTCACCCTCAAGACCTTCGTAGCAAAGGTCATCGGACTGACCTGTGCCCTGGGCAGCGGGATGCCCCTTGGCAAAGAGGTAACTGCAGGCTGGGGAATGAAGGGGTCCCAAGGGGAGGGAGCCAGGGTCAGGGTGTGCCCCTCCCCTGCTCATGGCCCACCCCCACCCCCAGGGACCTTTCGTGCACATCGCCAGCATGTGTGCTGCGCTGCTCAGCAAGTTCCTCTCCCTCTTTGGGGGCATCTACGAGGTAAGGGCGACCCTGGAGCAGGGCAGAGGAGAGAGATGGGCTGCTGAGCTCGGCCGACTCTCCTTTCCACCACTCTCGCCAGAATGAGTCCCGCAACACAGAGATGCTGGCTGCCGCCTGTGCCGTGGGAGTGGGCTGCTGCTTTGCGGCACCCATTGGAGGTAGGCGGCCTGTCCAGCCCCCAGGATGCCCTCAGCCTCGCCTCCTTTGCTCTTCTCATCCGGCTCTGAGTCCTGAGGCCAGGCCCGGACCTCATGCGGTGCTCTCCCTGCTGCCCCCTCCCACAGGCGTTTTGTTCAGCATCGAGGTCACCTCCACCTTCTTCGCGGTGCGCAATTACTGGCGGGGCTTCTTTGCGGCCACCTTCAGTGCCTTCATCTTCCGGGTCTTGGCGGTCTGGAACCGCGACGAAGGTAGAGGAGCCCGGGGGACGCGGGCAGCCCCCGAGATGGCTCAGGCGGGGCCCTCAGCGCCACGGCCGCCTCCCTCTGCTCCTCTGCCTGCCCCCCAGAGACCATCACAGCTCTCTTCAAAACCCGCTTCCGGCTGGACTTTCCCTTCGACCTCCAGGAGCTGCCGGCCTTCGCCGTCATCGGGTGAGGAGCTGAGGCCGCCGGGGCCCCGGGAGGGGGGCAAAGAGGGAGGACGATGTTTTACAACCGCGCTTCTTCCCTCTCCAGTATTGCCAGCGGCTTTGGGGGAGCGCTCTTTGTCTACCTGAACCGGAAGATTGTCCAGGTGATGCGGAAGCAGAAAACCATCAACCGCTTCCTCATGAGGAAGTGAGTTGGCTTTGGGCTCCTGTCTTGGCTGCTCTGGGTTGTGTGAGGGTCACAGTGGGGCAGGTGGGCCGGTAACAGAGAGGCTGGCATCCAATGGCCCAGTCAAAAACAGACGCCCCATTGAGAAAACCAGCCATGGTGTTTTCCAGGTGGACCGAACCCCTTGGCTCTCATGTGAATTACCTGAACTTTGGCACTTTTGAATTTTATCTCTGGAGCACAGCTCCCTCCATTGTGCCCTGAAGACTGGGAGTGGGGAGGCCTGAGACGTGACTTTTGTTGGGACTAGCGTCCTTCAGGGAAAGGACAGCCAGCTGAACCTGCTCCCTATGGCACCTTCGGCCAGCTTCATACGTGACCCCGGCTTCCTTCCCTAACACTGACCTTCAGTCTAAGTCACCACAGAGAAACAGAGGCAGGAACCTCTCCACTCATGCAATGCGCCCTTCAGCTAGGGCTTCTGAGGGCAGGGGGAGGAGACACAGCTCGGAGGTGTCTCAGAGAGGGTGGGTGCAGGGCGAGGGTGGACTTTCTGCCACTGCGACCCGCTTAGGTCGAGGAGGCAGGAGCCAACAGAAGGTTGTTTGAGCCCATGACAACCCTGGATGGCCATCACCCTTGGGGCCATCATCTCATGAACAGCAAAGGGGACCTTCTCTCAGAACTGTGTGCTTTTATATAAGAGCCAAGGCTGTGCCATGACCTCAGCCCTAACGTATGCGAGGGCACCAGCCTCTCACCAACCCGTGGTAAGTGCACCACCCACGTCTGATGCTGTGAAACCTGCACCTCTAGACGCCTGCTCTTCCCGGCTCTGGTGACCCTGCTCATCTCCACTCTGACCTTCCCCCCTGGCTTGGGACAGTTCATGGCCGGACAGGTAACCCCAGGCAGAACAGGAATGTATGCTTTTCCCTTGGGATGCCTCCTTTCTAAAGCCAACAGCCCCTGCTCTCTCCTGTGGGTCCCTTCCCTTCACCCTGTCTGTTCCCCAGCCTGAGGCACCCTTTTCACCTATAGCTCTCACAGAAAGAGACACTGGTCACTCTGTTTGACAACCGGACGTGGGTCCGCCAGGGCCTGGTGGAGGAGTTAGAGCCGCCCGGAACCTCTCAGGCCTGGAGCCCACCACGTGCCAATGTCTTCCTCACCCTCGTCATCTTCATTCTCATGAAGGTGGGCTCCTTACAGGTGTATAGCTATTTCTTCCATAGGCTTGTGAGGTGCCAGGTCCCGGTCCCAGCACTGGTTCAAGCTTTACAACAGTGCCATGGAGAGGTACTGTTAGCACCCCGTGTAACAGATGGGAAGCTGAGACATAAAGGGGTTGTCATTGGCCCAATGTCACACAGCTGGTGGCAAAGTGAGAATTTGAACCCAAGCCATCTTTCTGGAGTGCTTCATCCCTTTACCTCTGGGCGATTCTGGGATAACTGGGAGGTTTACTACCAGACAAGCAATGAAGGCTCCTTGGGGTGGAGCTGGGGCTGCCTCGAGTCAGGTGGCACCTCTGCCTGTCTGAACTGCCTCCTGCCTGCAGTTCTGGATGTCTGCACTGGCCACCACCATCCCAGTGCCCTGTGGGGCCTTCATGCCTGTCTTTGTCATTGGTGAGTCCTCAGTTGCCTGTTCTCCCAGCCTGCACCCTCCCCACCCTCTGGCTCTTTCCTGGCCATCTCTTCTCTGCCTGGGAGTGGGTTTCGGTCCAGCCCCAGCCCCAATGCGCACCCCCACAGGACTGTCTCCCACACTGAATGACCCACTGGCCCCTCCCCCACCCTCTGACCCTCTCTCTTCCTAGTGCCCCCACCCTCCCCCTCCACTGCCTGTTTCTCTTCCCACTCCCCTCCCTGAAGGAGCAGCATTTGGGCGTCTGGTGGGCGAAAGCATGGCCGCCTGGTTCCCAGATGGGATTCACACGGACAGCAGCACCTACAGGATTGTGCCTGGGGGCTATGCAGTGGTGGGTGAGTGCTCCAGGGCCCCATCTGTCCTGGAAGACCCTGGTGGGGCCACAGGGTCTGAGGTTCTGGTGCCCCCTGCTGACAGAAACCAGACTTCCTTCAGATGCAGAACCCCAGTTCCCAAGACGGTACTGGGCAGTCATGAGGGCACCCGCAGACTGTCCTCAGGTGGGGAGGGTCATCTGGTCCCTGGGCTCCCTAAGGAGACTAAAGGTGGCTGTCCCCAGGGGCGGCTGCGCTGGCAGGAGCAGTGACACACACAGTGTCCACGGCCGTGATCGTGTTTGAGCTCACAGGCCAGATCGCCCATATCCTGCCTGTCATGATCGCCGTCATCCTGGCCAACGCCGTCGCCCAGAGCCTACAGCCCTCACTCTACGACAGCATCATCCGAATCAAGAAACTGCCTTACCTGCCTGAACTGGGCTGGGGCCGCCACCAGTATGGAGGGCCGGGTGACAAAGGGGTTGTGGGTGAGGGGCAGAAGGTGTCCCTCCCGGGGCCCCTTCACACCCACCTCCAGCAAGGTCCTCAGTCAGTGAAGCTGGGAGACCAGCCACCATGCTCCCTCCAGGCCTGAGCTCCCCTTGGCCATACCCTAGGGGAGCCCAGGCAAGCCCTGCCGGATCCAAACAAGGGCCAAGGAGTACTCCGTATACAATGCCCATGGGTTCTGGGGCCTTCCTTACAGCCTTGGTGGTATGCTCTGGTAGTGCTAGCATGGTAGTCCTGGTGGTCCCCCAGCATGGTAGTGCTCCATGCTGACCACAAACCAAGTGCCTCTCGCTGCCCCCAGGCAGTACCGGGTCAGAGTGGAGGACATCATGGTGCGAGATGTTCCCCATGTGGCCCTCAACTGCACCTTCCGAGACCTGCGGCTGGCACTGCACAGGACCAAGGGCCGCATGTTGGCCCTAGTAGAATCCTCTGGTGAGACCAGCTGGGGCCCCAGATGCTATGAACATCTCCCAGGGTCCCTGCTCTGGAAGCAGGAGGGAACAGGAGTGCAGGATCAGTCTTCTTGGTCCCAAAGGGAATAGCCAGCCTTTTCCAGTCAGGGCTTTCCCTCTGTGTCCTTTCGCCTATGTCCAAAACCCTGCCTCGAGTGTAGGAGAGGGCTGGGGAAAGGGCCTCCCCTTCAGCTCCTGAGCCCTCCCGCCTACTCTCCCTAGAGTCAATGATCCTCCTGGGCTCCATTGAGCGCTCACAGGTGGTGGCATTGCTGGGGGCCCAGCTGAGCCCAGCCCGCCGGAGGCAGCACATGCAGGAGCGTCGAGCTGCAAAGACCCCTCCACCGCCTGATCAGGAGAGTCTCCCCAGCCCTGAGACCTCCGTCCGCTTCCAGGTGAGGGGAAAGCCCTACGCAGTCACACAAACTTTGTCCTAAATGTTGTCGTGCAAACTGATCAGGAGGGTGACCTACAGGCATCTGGGGCCACAGACTCACCAGCCCCTTCCACCTACGCAGGTGAACACAGAGGACTCGGGCTTCCCTGCTGCCCGAGGGGAGACTCACAAGCCCCTGAAGCCTGCTCTCAAGAGGGGGCCCAGCAACTCCATGAGCCTCGGGGAGAGTTCCCCAGGTGAGCCCAGCACCCACTAGCACCTTCCTCCACCCTCCTCCAGCAGAGTCCAGCCTCTGAGACTGCACAAGGGCCCTTGCGCCTCTTTTGGCTGGGGCACGTCCCTGCTGAGGGGCTGCCTGAATGACCAGGGGTAGAACCAGGACACCTCCCCCCCCTCCCTCCTCCCCTCCCCCACAAAGATGACATTGCCCTAGGGCCTTGTGTTTGGGAACACAGGGAATGTGGAGCAGGCTGGCATCGCCCTCAGGAGCCTCTTCTGTGGCAGTCCACCCCCCGAGGCTGCTTCGGAGGTGAGTGGATGGAGCCTCTCCATCTTCCTTTCCAACTCTCTCTACTGCTGAGATAACCTCTCCATTAGCTCTGCAGCACCTGCTTCCATTCTCCCTGCCCCTCTGCCCTCCCAGATGCCAGCTCTGTCCCTGCAGTGCACCCTTCTCCTGGCCCCACCACGCTTCTCACCTCCCTCCTCCCTATAACATCGATTCCTCTTCTCTCCTGTTTGGCTCTAACAAAGTTGGAGAAGTCAGAACCATGCGACAAGCGCAAGCTGAAGCGGGTCCGAATCTCCGTGGCAGTAAGTGCCCACTTCTTTCTGCAGCTTAGGAGCATTAGACAGGGCAGGCCAGGGTCTAGGTGGTAAACCTCCCCCAGTGGGGGAGACACACCCCCTTTCCCCAGCCCCCAGTGCCAGCCTCCCTCCCTCTCTCCTAGAGCGACTCAGACCTGGAAAGTGAAATGACCCCTGAGGAGGTAAGGTGTGACTGGACTCTGGACTCTGTTTCTTCTGGGATGTGTTCAGTCATCATCTTGGCTTCTGTCCCCAAGGGAGGGACCGTGGGGTAGGAAAAAAGGGCAGACCAGCTTTCGGGGAGGTGGGGGCAGCTATTTGCACCTTCCCCCTAACCCCCCTAGTCTTCTACCCTCAGATCCTGGAGTGGGAGGAGCAGCAACTAGATGAACCTGTCAACTTTAGTGACTGCAAAATTGACCCTGCCCCCTTCCAGCTGGTGGAGCGGACCTCTTTGCACAAGGTAGGGCGGGCAACCCAGCGCTGGCCTGGGCTCTCAGGAGCACTGCTGGGGACCTAGGTGCTCCCACCAGTTTGGACTCAAGCCAGTGGGGGTGGGGGAGGACAGCAGAGAGTGGGCTCTGTGCTGATATGTTTTTCAAACAATTATTTCAAGTGATGGGAGGCCAGGAGCCATGCCCCTGCAGCCTCCTCTGGCCTGCGGTGGAGTCAGGCATCAGTGTCCCCCCTCCCCCTCCCCCACCTCAGTCTTGCCCCCCAGGGACCTCTGGACCAAAGCAGCAACAAAGACAGGGCTCAAGCAGGGTGCAAGCCAAAAGGCCAGGCTAGGGTCAGAGCTGGGAGGGAGGCTGCCAGCTCCCGACAAGGCTGATACACCCACGCAGAAAAAAATGGGTGAGAAAGAGGCAGGGTAAGGAAATCTAACAAACAAGCTAACAAACAGCCAAGCAGGGGTCGGGACACTGCAGAGAAGAGATAAACAAAGATGAGAAACGCCCAGTGGGGGGCTTGGAATGTCAGACCCCAGAAAGTCTCACTTAATGTAGGCCCAAGGAAAACTGGTAAGGACACAGGAAGGCAGCTCAGGGGAAAGGCAACACCAGCCTATAGAACCGGGGAGAGCACTTGAGTGCGGACAGACTGGCAGTGGGCAAGGCTGACATAAGAGGAGGGCAGGGCCTGCCCAGGAGGGGGCAGTGGTGTCCCGGGGCACCTTCAGGCTTCTAAGTGGAAGCAGGGAGTGCAGGCACACCAGCAGACTGCTGGAGAGGAAACCAAGGGGTGTTTTAGCTAACTTGTCACAGTGAATGTGCAGACCTTTGAGGCGTGGGGACAGGGCCAGGGGGAGAGCACTCCCAAGGTCTGCCGCTGGGACAGCTAGCGTAGGTGAAAACTGTGCTGAAAAGCCAGCTTAGTGTGGACGAGCAGGGGCCTAGGCAAAAAGGACAGGAGACAAGAGAGAAATGTTTTTTCAAAAAAGCAAAAAATTAATAAAGGAACTTATAAACCTTTGGGTAAAGACCTCCAATCAAAGTGAGTGGGGAATTGCAGTGCAATTGCAAGAAAAAAAAGAGGCCTGAGAATAATACATGCGGCTTTCATTGGAAGCCCTTCTTCCTGCCCTGGCTGGTGTAGCTCAGTGGATTGAGTGTGGGGCTGCAAGCTAAAGGATCACCAGTTTGATTCCCAATCAGGGCACATGCCTGGGCTGCAGGCTGGGTCCCCGGTACATGAGAGTTAACCATACATTGATGTTTCTTCTCCCTTCCCCTTTCTCTAAAAATAAATAAACAAAATCTTTTAAAAAAAAAAAAGAAAGAAAGCTTTTCTTCCTAAGACCTCTAAAGGTTTTCCATCATCTTACTTAGCCCTCAAACATCGCACAAAGATGATGATGCTGCTGACATTTTTTAAGTGCCTGCTATATGCCAGGCACTGGGCTAAGCTATTTGCATGTTTAATTTAATCCTCATGACCACACTGTAAGAGAGATGGTGTGATATTCCAGTTTTTACAGATGAGGACATTGAGACTCAGAGAGGTTAAGCTAGTTGACCAAGGTCACACAGCTAGGATGTAGCACAGCCAGGCCTGGAGGCCAAGATTGACCTGAAGCCTGTGGATTTAGCCATTTTAATACATGGGGAGACTGAGGCAATGAGCAGGTCACTTGCCCGAGTAAATATAGCAGAGTCAGGCCTAGAGCCCAGAGGTCCTGGCCCCGGTGCCAGTGTTCTTTCAGAGGGCCACGCTGTCTCTCTCCCTGTCAGTTCACTCACTGTTCCCAAGCCCAAGAAATGCAGGCCCTCCAGTGAGCTCCCTGGTGTCTAATTAAATTAAAGCAAAAAAGAACAAAGCATGCGTTTGTTAGAAACTTAAAAATCAGAGGAAGAGAAGGAGTCTTTGAGGAACCGACTAACAAAAGTACAAAGGACTAGAAGTGATAAGAACATTAAAGATTAGAATTCAAAATGTCCTTGCAGGCCTGAGGAGTCAATAAGTAGTAGCCCAATTAAGTTCAGAAACGGAACAGAGGGTCAAAGGAATACACTGGAGACCATTAGGAACCCGTGCAATGGGAGATCGCGATGTCAGCTAAGTACCTCCCTTGTGCAGAGGCCACCTACAATGTGGCCGTGGGTGGAGTGGTCCAGGAGGCTGGAGCACCAGCACTGGGTCAGACGAGCTGAAGCCCAGTCCGCACTCTGCAGTGCGTGGGCTAGCTGCGTAACCTTGTCACATTTCTTGGCCTCTAGGTGTTTCACTTCCCTTATCTGTAAACTGGGGATCATAGCACCTACATCATAGGGTTTTCTGAGGGTTAAAGGAGTTGATACATGGGAACCACTTAGAACAGTACCTGGCACATAGTAAAGATTCGACATACTTTAGAAATTACTACTACTCACCGTTATACTTAGAGGTGAGCAATAGACTTTAAAAGGTGATGTAATGTGGGAAGTGTAAGAGAGATTGGTGTTTGCAGATGAAACTGAGTGATTATGTGATGCTGTAAACTAAGGTGCCTGGTGGAATCCGAGGCTGGAGAGACAAGCTGAGGCGGGCTTGGAAAGGGTCTTATGGACCATTCTGGGGAGTCCGGGCTCTGTCTCAAATTTGAGAAAGCTGATAGGCTGGCAGAGCCAAAGTGGTGTGAAGGGAGGCAGGAAACAGAACTCATCAGGGTGTTACAGCCCCATCCTGGTGAAGATGGTGAGGGAGTCAGGGGAATGGCCAGAAAGTGCAGGAAGCAGATCGGTAAGTTCGGTGACTGCCCAGGACAAATGGTTTGCAGACCTAAAAGGCCTACAGCCTGCCAGAAGCTCACTCGGATTAGGCCTGTGGCGAATAGAAAATCCAGGGGAATGATTTAATAGGATCCTCGAGAGAGGATGAGATGGATTATTGAACATAAGAAGACAAGGCCTAGGGATTATTAAAATAGGAAATCTTATGATGAAGATATGTCTCCCTATGAAATCAGAGGAGGAAACTAAAGACAACTTGTAGCGTGTAGGCTTCAAGGGACTTGCTAAGCCATGACAGTTATGACACGGGCAGTAGAGGGGAACAGGAGAGCTTAGGCTGAAACTGGACTTTTCTAGCTCCTTTTGTAAGTACTGTCACACCCCAGCAGGAGAAGGTTACGAAAGTTCTATTAAGTTCTTTCCTAAAGAATTCGGCAACTGTGTAAGAAAACGTTTTTAAAGTGTTGAGACAATCACAATGACTTTGGAGTAACTGGTACTCAAGAAGCTGGGATATTAATGCCCATTTTGATTCAAGCATTAAGCCAAGAGGCTTACAAGTAAACTGAAAACAGTGTGATAAATGATAGGCCAGAAATTCCAGGAACTGCTGAGTCAGTAGTGTTTTTCAAGACATCTGGCCCGAGAAAATCCACTTAGAGCACAAGGGGAACTAGCTGACAATTTCTGAACCCTTGGTGATTACAAATGAAAGCTTGGGGGAGGGCCCAAAGCAAGAAAAACATGGGTGGGGGATGGGGGAAGCAGATATCTCCTGGACTGTAAGCTGCATCTCAAACGGGCCTGGGCTGCTTTGGGCCGCAGAAAAGGAAAACCATACAGGAGGTGGAGTGCTGCCCGCCAAGACAGTAAGGGGAGGTCAGAGCCAGGGTAAAGGGGTACCTTGGATGGCTAGACAGCTGAGGGCAGAGGGGAAGCACGGTGAGGGGAGAAGAGCAGGGGCCACACCCCTAAAGGCCCGAGTGGAACTTTCCTCCTGGATGGATCCATCCACGACTCACCAGACATCTGCCCAGGACCACTCGGGCAGCGCCTCCTCCTCCTCCTGGAGTGGGAGGAAAAGAGGCCAGAGTGGGAGGGCCACTTCTGATGACCCTGAGCAATGTCGCCTCACCCCTGAGCCTCATGCTGTCTGTCCTGTAGAATGGGTGGCATATGTAGGACAGTGCCGAAATCAAACACCAGTGTGAGACTCAGCCGGGTGCCTGGCGCTCGTTAGGTGTCACATCTGAATGGTTCTCTCTCCTCCGTTCTAACACGGGACGACGAACCCTCCCTCTGTCTGTTTTCCCATCAACATAGAGATTCCTGCTACGGAGTTTCTGCAGACTGGTTGTACATTCTCGTTATCCTTTTCCCTCTGGCTGTCTTTCCCCCTCGACCCACCGTCTGTGGCACCCCTTCTGTCCACCCCTAACCCAACAGCTCATCCTGTGCCCTTGGGCATCAAGGCCAAAGTTTCTCTCCCCACCCTGCAGACTCATACCATCTTCTCACTGCTGGGAGTGGACCATGCCTATGTCACCAGTATTGGCAGACTCATTGGAATCGTCACTCTAAAGGAGGTAAGATGATAGTGGCCATCAAGGCCATTCCCACTTCCAAAAAGGCAGTGGGGGCTTCTGTCTAGCCTACCCCAGGGAAGTGCTGGGGAGGAGTCTGAACAGGGAGCTCTGTCTGACGCTCTCACCTCTCCAGCTCCGGAAGGCTATTGAGGGCTCCGTCACAGCACAGGGCGTGAAAGTCCGGCCGCCCCTCGCCAGCTTCCGTGACAGTGCCACCAGCAGCAGTGACACAGAGACCACTGAAGTGCATGCACTCTGGGGGCCCCGCTCCCGCCACGGCCTACCCCGGGAGGGCAGCCCTTCTGACAGTGACGACAAGTGCCAGTGAATTCCTCCGCAGGTGGCCTGGGGCGGTGGTGGCCCTGACTGTCCGCTCAGCCCCTGCAGCTCTCCTGTGCCTCCTGCCTTGGGCAAGCAGGAGGCAGCTATGTCCAAAGGTTAGAGCCCTGGCCCCCCTTCCAGGCCGGGGGCACCAGCTTCTCCCAGTTCCTCCTACCTGGAATGAGACCCAGCTCCCACCTGCGGCGAGTGTCCCTTTCAAGGGCAGGAAGGTTGGCACTGCCCTGGCGGGACGGGGGTGGGGTCGCTTGACCCCTGCTGCCCCTTTGAGGAGCAAAGGGGTAGAACTAAGATGGGTTTATACTGGAACCTCCAATGACCAGATGTATATAGAGATTTACAAAGATTTTTATATTAATTTAATAAAACAAATTCTCAAATAGAACAAAATAAACACCTAATGAGCCACTTATGTATAGAATGCCTGTGCCCATCAGCTCGTGTTCTTACCTTGGGCCCTCTTACCTGCCAAAACCTACAAGGCCTGAAATCTGTAGCCACCACACCCCGTGGCCATAAAACTCTAGCGCCTGCCTTCCATGAAATGCAGGATCTGCGGAGGCCTCTGCTGCTTGGCCATCAGCACCCTGGCTGCCCCCAGCACTCTCGCTTTGGCCCTTCCTTCAGACAAGAAAGGCACTGCCCTCCTTCCTCCCCAAGGAGAGACACTCCCTCATGACTGTCACCGGTTGGCACAATTCCTGCCCTGCTCAGGCATCAGCAGACGATTGTCTGGCCACCTGTGTGGCCCCCTGGTGGCCCTCCCTGGAAGAACACCGAAGTCACAGCTCTTAGCAACCACAGCCATCCCCTCTTCCAGGAACTGCACCCTAAAGAGAACTGGGTGAATGCAGCAGCCCGGTGGGCTGGGAGCCACCGGGCCCCTTCCCACACATCCTATGAGGGACTGGGAAAGGGCCCAGACCCATTCAGGGCGGCCAGGAAAAGGGTGGAGGGTACAGGCTTTCATCATTCCAATGCCTCCCAGAGAAGATCCGACTGAAAGAACAGACCAAAAGCCCTCTTTTTCTTTAGAAAAAAGAAGATTTAGAGACAATGGAGAGGTGAAGCACAGCACGAGCCCAGCTGGGAGAGGGGCCCTGGGGGACGGCTCAATCTGTAGGCTCCCCGGGTGGGGGTGATTCTATCAAGCACTGCACGTGGACTTGGAGGTGAGGAGAGAAGCAGAGAGGAGAGAGGCAGAGGGAGGGGCGGGGGAGGCCAGGCTCCCCTCCCACTCTGCCCCACACAGCCCAGTCGTAACTGCCCCTCAGGGGTTCACACCATCAGAGGAGGAAATATGTGGCATTTTTTGATTTAAGAACATGACATCACTCTGCCACAGCTGTAGCCATGCCCCAGGGGCCCCGGGCAACCCCCGGCAAACCCCAGGAGTGGGGGCTGGACATGCGCCCCCAGCCTGGTCCCTGCCTCCTCTCTAGACACTTTCATGCAAAACACACAATGAGGAGTGAGTGCTCCAAGGAGCCCTCTAGGCTTTGGAGCTCTGCTGGAAGCCTCGAGCCCACACGTGGGCACGGAGGCTCTGACCCCAGCAGCAGGCAGGGGACACATGCCACCACCAGGCATGACTGGCGTCACTGTTCCTCCGGTTCTACCTCATCCTCGTCTAAGGACAACACCCCAGAAGAAGCCACGTCAGAGGCTTGCTGCTGCTGTTCCCAGCGGCCCACCGGTGGCGGTGGCGGGCAGAGCGGCTGGCAGTCCTCGCAGGGGGCTGGCTCCTCCTCGGCGGGGGAAAGGCGAGACTCTGGGAGGGGCGAGTTGTAGAGCGAGTCCTGGGCTTCCAGTGGGCCCAGGCTGCGGAAGGCACTTTCCCGGCTGGGGGGCAGTTTGGCAAGGAGCAGCTCTTCACCCAGCAGCTGGGAGGCCAGGCGGGCCGGGGAGCCCAGCAGCCCATCCTCCAGGCTGCACAGACTGGAGCACAGGGTGTCTGGGGACACGGTCTGCGAGCAGTCGCTCTCGGGCTCCACGGAGCCCTGGCGCAAAGGCCGAGAAAACCGGTGACCACTGAAGAGGTCCTGAAGGTGGGGTCCCAGGGGCAGCTGCCCAGCCATGTCTGTCAGGGGAGAGAAAAGAAGACAGTCCTGCTAGCCCCATCTCAGTCGGCCACCCTGGAAGCCACATTCTCCCCACTCTACCTGGACACAGCGCTGAGCACAGTGGCTAAGAGCCAGGGAGCTTGAGGCAAGTCACTTAACCTCTGCTTCAATTCCTTAATGGTGAATTGGGGGTTCTAATATACCTACCTTGTGGGGCTGCTGAGAGAACAGAGAACACAGTAAGAAAGCAATAAATGCAGGGATACCACACATGGTCGTGCAGGCTGTTCCCTGCACAGGGGAGCCTGTCCAAGCCAGTGGGTGAGGGCTGAATTTCAGCACGCCCTGGCATGGGGCTGTGCCCACCGGAGAAAGGAGTGCCTTTTTCAAATCTACACAAAAATTCCACATGGGCTAGTAGTGGCCTTGGGTAAATGTTAGTTATTATCATTAAATCAGGGGTCAAAACAGACCTGGAACTCAATTAAACAATAACACCAAGGTTCAGGTCTGTCTTGGTCTTGGGCATCCAAATCAGTGCCCTGGGGACCACAGCAGCAGTCTCCAATCTGCTCTGATGTGCTGCCCACCTCTGAGAATTTGTTAATTAGCTAGAGGGGTGGGGGTGTGGGGTGGCAATCTTCAAAGGCAAAGGGGTGGGGGGATGGTAGCCTGGGCGGCTTGAGCCCAGAAGCTACAGAGAAAGTCCGCCATGTGGTCGGTCCTGAGAATGGAAGATGAAAGGAGGGCCTTGCCCAGCTGCACAGCCCCACAGGGCCCCCTCTGCAAGCAGTGGCAGAGACAGGCCCAAGGCTTGGAATGCAAGCAGGATGCTGAGCTGGAGCCAACAGCCCTGTGGGCAGCCCAGGCCCAGGCCCAGGCCCAGCAGGCTTCCTGTCTGCCCGAGGCCACAGCCCCCTGAGGTGCTGCTGTGCTGTTGCACTCACTGCAGCCAGCCTGGGGGCAAGACACAGCAGATCCTCCCAGAGATGGGGCTAGTGAGGTCTCTGAGCAGTTTTGTTTGTTTGTTTGTTTGTTTGTTTGTTTGTTTGAGGCCTGAAAGGCCCAACTGCACAGACAGGCAGAGAAGGCTCAGCACCTTTGAGAAACTCCACTGCCACCTGCTGACTGCCCCCCACGGGGGTGGACAGTCCTTCTGCCCATGGAAGGTCAAGGACTGCCTGGACAGAGTCTGCCTCTCTTGCTCTCCTTCCAAAGGCTGAGGACATCTGGATCTCCCCTTCCAGAGGTTGAGCTCTGAATCAGAGGGCCTATCAGGCAGCTCCACCCCAGATGGCAGCACTAGCAGGACATGTCCCCTCACCTGAGTCAGTTCCCCCAACAAAGTCCTCATCATAGGATTCATCGGTAGAGTCCTCACCATCCACTGATGACCATGCCCGGAGCTTGGCTTCTGCAATGGCAAATTGCTCAGCCACTCCTGTTGGGGAGGACATGGAATTCATTTGCAGAGAGAGCTAAGATTAGGACTCAGCTTAGAGACAGGAAAGGGAAGACACAAGGGGAGGGAAGGACTCCAGCCCCCACAGCAGGCCCAAGGAGATGAGAGAGTATCCCTATCGACAAAAGCGTGGCTGATCCTCTTTCTGTCACTCACCCGCTGCAAAGCGAGCCTCTTGTTCACCCTCACTGAGATCCGAATAGGAGGAAAATGCTGATTCCAAGGCAGCAGGCGAGTCACTTGGCTTGCTCCAGCCCTTCCATTCAATGAGGTGAGCCACACGGCCCTGGGCCATGGCAGTAGGCTTGGTCACGTGGTCCTTCACCACCTGGGAAATACCTATAGGTGGGGCAGAGTCAGAAAGCTTGGTAAGAGCATGGGTCAGGGAGCATTTGGGAAGGGAATTGAAGAGTGATGGTAATGAAGGTCCACATGTGCCTTTGTGGGGAAGGAAGGGGCTGGGATTCACCTGAGAAGGAGAAGAAAAGGGAGAGAGCAGCAGGAGCTCACAGGAAATAATCCCCAAGGACATGTGCAAAGGGAGAAGAAAGGGCCAAATGGCCAGGGGCATGGGAGCGGGGTGCATACCATGCAGGGAGGATCTGGCCAGTGCAGCAATCTCCTGGATGGTTAGAGCTCTCCGGGACTTGGGCAGCATCGCGACTGTGTCTCCAACATTCACCTTGGGTAACAGTATCAGAGGGTGAGTGCTCCTCTGACAGCAGTGTCCTCGCACATGCCCAACCCCCCCAACCCCCATGCATCAAGGGGATACAGGAGCTGGGGAGAAATGCTGGGGCAGTGCATGTGTCCCACTGGCTGCTGGGATATGTAAGAGGGTAAGAAGCCAGGACCAGCAAACTATGTCCTCCCAGGAAGCAATGGAGACATGGGCAGGCCCAAAAGAGCAGAACTGCAGCTAACCCTGCACCTTCCCAGCTCCTAGAGGGGAAGAAAGCAGGTCAAGAAGAACCATGCAGGGTCTTTGAGAAAAGAGGAAGGGAGAAGGATATAGCATCCAGGTCCCCTTCCTTTTGCCCTTCTCCTCCTTTCAGTCTTCAGACCCACATACTATCTGTAGAGCCTACCAGGGCCACAAACTCAGCATGACCAAGACAAAGCCAACACCTTCTCCCCATGTCTGGCTCTGCCTCCAAACCTCCCTACTTTGCATCACCCCGCCATTCTCCTATTCATCCTGGCTCCAAACCTCAGCATTACCATCAGTTCTCCTGTGAGCTTTCCTCCTCTGTACCTGTTGTTAAGATGTAATGATGAATCTCCAAACTGCCTCTGATACTATGCTCATCCTTTGCCACAGCCCTTCCTCAAGCCCTCAGCGCCCCTTGCCCAGATGAGCACAGTGGTGGTCCCCCAAGTTCCTCTTACTCCATGCTATTTGTCAGCCTAGTATGTGGTGTAAGTGTCCCCCTTCCCATGTCTGCCTGGCACTTGCTTTCTCACCTTTTGGGTCTTGGCTGAAATATCACTCCCTCAGAGAAGCCTTCCTGGACACCCTGCCAGCTGTCGACCCTCCCTCTGTAGTCTGTAACAAGTCACCCTCCTCTATCAACATATCCCATGTATGTGATTATAGTCTATTTTGTGTGTTTCCTTATTTCTTGTTCGTCTCCCTCACTGGTCTTAAGCGCTTTCAGAAATACAGTCTCTTTTGGTCACTGCTGCACACCTTTGCTCTGTGCCTGGTACACAGTAATCTCTCAAAATACATAGGCCAAATGAGCAAAGCAAGGTAGGAATGTAAACGATTTTCCTGGAGTGCAGCTGGTCACAACATGCCCTTATTTAAAAGCTTTTCTGAGCTCCTCCACTGTCCAATGAAGTGCAAGCTCACAGCCAGGCCCTGAAGAACTCTGTGCGGCCCTGCCTCCTTCCAGGCCTGCTGGCAATCCACTACTGACCTCCTCTGCCCAGTACAACCCACTTCTCCACTTTCCTTGTCAGCAAGCAACCCTCATGCCTTCCTCTAGGCAAAGAAATCCCGCTTTTCCCTGCACTAAGAATGCCATCTTTGCCTGACAAAAAGGCCCCCTAACATTTAAGGCCTGACTCAAGTACCACCTCCTACTGTGTTTTCAGTCCAGTTTTCTCTGTATCTTCTTCAAACCCACCCAACCCCAGCATTATCCTTGCATCACTCCTGAAGGGTCTCAGGATGGCAGGGCCTGAGTCTGTTTCACCTGGGTTCCTACCTCCACCCTGCACCTTGCTCTGTGCTCCTTGGCAAGCCAAGGCAAATGTTTGCCTCAATGAATGAATGAATGAAGTCAGAGGTCCGGGTCTCCTCCCCAGCATTGCCTAGCTCCACTCCATCAATTCCCACCCCTCACAAGAGGGGCTCCACCTGCCCCTCGACCTCAGGCCCACCCGCTCTGTCTCTCCCCTTCGGTACCTGGTTGACAGGGCCCCCAGGGTGGCGTCGGTAGCCTCTGGCCGGGCGTGGAAGGAGGAGCACCTGCTGGGTGTTTCCTAGCTGGCTCTCCCTCCCTCCCCTCACTCCCCCCGGCCGCCGCCATCCGTGCCAGCACTCCGCGCAGCTGCGGCTCAGGCCCAGAGAAAAGGTGTATGTTTCCCTGGCAACCCATCACCATGCAACAGGGTCTCCCGGGATATGGCCCGGGATGCGCTGACGTCAGCGCCAAAGGCGCAAGCAACCCTCCTGGCACTGGCGAGGCGCCGAGCAGAGCAGACCGGCGGGGGCGGCCTTACTGCCGGCCGGATAGCGCCTCCGCTCACAGGCAAAGGGAGCCAGAAACAGGCTGGTGAGGCGGGGGTGGGGGATACAGATCCCCTTCATGTGGATGCGGTTCCCCCTTCCCCCTACCAATACCAGGGCCCAGCACCTCCGGCAAGTCCTGGCTGTCCACGGAGGAAGGGCGAGAGGACCGGCTCCAGCCTCGGAGGGTCCTAGCGGATCCCAAGGAAGACAGAGAGAGGCCCCGAGGAAGTTCGATCCACTCCACAGCCCACGCGGGGTCCGAGGCCACTGGGGAGTGGGGGAAAGGCTGTTCAGCTGGATTCCCACTTCTAAAAAGATCCCCCTCCTTCTTCATCCAGGGTTGCCATATCATTCCTCCTCAAGCCCTCCCCAACCTCACAGAACATCAGCAACCACCTGGTGCTCTCCACAACTCTAAAAGCTCCCATCCGCTGCCCCTAACCTTTAGGCTCCTGGGGTCGTTCTGTGGCAGCCACTAGCCACCTTCCTCCACTGGATATATTTTGCCATCAATACCCTCGGGATGACACTAAACTTTGATAAATTCTGAATCTTCTCCCGTTTCTAGGCCTATCCATTCCTCTTGGAAAGCACACCTCATTCTCCCACCGCCATCACTGTCCCCCTCCCCACCACTGTCTGGGACCCTTTGCAGGCTCGCTGCCTTCCTTCTCTTGGTTCTTTCTTCTCGCCAGACTCAGCCGGTATGCAGCTCTTTACTCTTCTCTGACAAACCCATGCGTTTTCTTTCACCCCAGTCCCCTAAAGCTGTTTCCTGATGTCCCGCCTGGCCTCAGCCTGATTGTTCCTGTCTCAGCCTGGTTCCCAATATCTAAGCCAAAGTAATTTTTCTCTCGCCACCTGAGCACCCGACTCCTCAGCTTCCCATCACCTCCCAGACTACATCTATGCTCCCTGGTCTCACCTCTGCGACTTGTCTGACAAGTCCATCGTCCTCCAGGCCCTTCACGCTGCCACAGGAACATTTTTCCCAGCACAGAAATCATAGGCATGCTGGCTGTGTTGATGCAGAGAACCAAAAGCCCAGAACTGCTCCAGGCTCAGCTCCCAGTTCTATTCCTATTTTGGTTCCGGATGCTGAGCCAGTCCCCTCCCCGCTTGGAACCTGTTCCTAGTCACATAAGGAGAATGCTCCTGCCTCATGGCTTTGAGGAGGTGGGAGTGCCAGGGGCCCAGCCAAGCTCTGTGGAGCTCGGCAAGCTGAGGCTTGTTCCCTAGACAGTGCCAACAGGCAATGTATATCACAACTGACCTTTAACTGGAGCAGCCGTCTCTGTCCCTGAGCCTCAGCCTGCTGGTGGTCCCCAGAAATGCTACCAACCAGAAGGAAGACACAAGGTTATAGGCCATCCCTGGCCCCAGCTGGTACCTAATCAGGGTTCTTGATGCAAATCCTGAGGTCAGCCAAACTCTCCCCTGACTATAGGAAGGAATGACTTCCTGAACTCCAAGCCTTTCAGGGCCAAAGGGGATCGGAGCAGCAGCCTGCTGCTTCTCAGCTTCAAAAGCCATGAGGTTAATTTAGGACTACAAATCCCAGAATTCCTCAGGGAACCCAAGAAAAATACTAATCTCAGAGTCTTGGTTCTGAAGAACCTCAAGTACCAACCACACTAAGGTCTGTGTGACTGACCACCTGCCCTGAAAAGCCCAGGACCCTTTCGAAACCTAGCCCTCAACATCGTAAGTTCCTACCTGGCCTTAGGCTTGGAGAAATCCATGACACTGGAGTAAAGTAGGCTGGCCAACCTCAGATGCACAGGACTAAAACCAGGCCCCAGCATGCACCATCCATGGGCACCAAGGCCCAAGCAAGAGTCAGCAGTTGTAGGAAGGAAGACCTGATGGCCTGCCTCTCTCTGGGCTCCTGTTTCCCTCCACAGGGTAGGGTGATTTTTTTGTTGTTGAGAGTGGGGGAAGGGAACTAAAAGAGTTGTGAGAGGTGATCAGCTGCTCACAGGTGCCCAAAGTGAGGCCTGAGTCCATTTGACGCTGAAGTGGGGAGTAAGATTTAATTAAAAACTCCTTGGTAGGGTAGTTGGCTAGCAGTTGCAGGCTTAAAGGGGTTGGGACACAGCTAGGGAAAGCAGATTCCCAGTCTAGGGACACCCCCAGCGCTGGGAGGAGAGGTGCAGGCAGAGCGGGGTGAGTGTATGTGGGTGGACAAAGCCAGTCACCAAGGGGTGGAGAGAGTCGATTAGCCCTTCCCCAGGCCAAGCGCCTCCTGTCACCCTCAGCAGTGGGAATGCAGGCGGAAAGACACGAGTCCACCCTGCAGAGTCCAGAAGCAGGAAGGCCACAGTACAGAGACCCAGTCAATTTAGCCCCCTCCCAGCTCCAGCCAGCTCCCTCCTCTAGCCTGGCCCGCCTCCCCGGTGCAGGCTCCTCCCTTCTAACACCGTCCCCTTCCTCAGGGCCCCCACCCACCCGCAGCCGGCGCACCCGCAGCCCGACTCCCCAGCCGGTGCCCGGCCTCTGGCTCTTACCCTGACCCGCCGGGCTCCGAGAGCCAACACAGCCCATGGCCGGGCACCCAGGCACGCTAGCCCGCGCTCGGGACCCGGGCCATCGGCTTACCGAGGGTCGAGCCGCGGCTGCCACCGGGGAGGGGAGAACCCGGGAGGGGAGGGGGTGGGAACCGCGTCCGCCGCCGCTCCCGAGAGAGGGAACCGGGCCGGTGACGCCAGCGCGGGGGCGTGGCCATCGCGTCACCACTCAAAGCGGGCGGGGCCGAACGGGCGTCAGGGCCACGCAGTAGCGGCCGGCCAGAGGGCCAGAGGCCGAGTACTGAAAAAGCTTGCCTTGTGCTCCCAGGCCCAACTGCAGAACCACTTAAGGTGAACAGAAAAGAAGGGGAGGCGACAGGCAAGCACTCGCTGAGCCCGGGTTTCTAGTAACACTGTATAAGGCAAAAGATCTCTTTGAAGCCAACCCCATTTTATAGATGCGACCTTGTAACCGTAAAGGACTTCCCAGCTGTCCCAGGACCTTCTCCATGAAAGAGAATTTCAATCACATTGATAGGAGAAACCAGCCAAACACTAAAGTACCCCACAGCTATGTGTCCCTGTCCCCTCCTAATCAACAGGACACCCAACTACCATCCACTTTGAGGACCAAACCCTCCAAATGACTCCCAGCTTCTGCAATCAGACAGGGGATACAAGAGGGGTGCCAGTTCTGAATGAGGCTGCCCACCGATGCATACCTTCTCCAGAGAAGGCCATAAAGCAGACAGGCAGTAAATTTAATTGAATTCATGTTTAATAATTACAGGCACCGTGCCCCCCCCTTCCCCCTGCCCAGGCAGCAGCAGGGGTGGTGCAGGGGCTGGGGCGTATGCCCCCAGCAGCGAGGACGGCAGTCCCAAGAGTGATTTTTCGGAAAATAAAAAAGGACCCCAGGGGCAGGCAGTGGTGCCCCCCCCAAGACACACCAAATTTCAAGACTTTATATATAATATATCTCTGTGCCCCAGGGGGGAGGAAGGGACACCTGGCAGCATCCTGGAGGGGGCCCAAGCCATCCTGCCTCTTCAGCCACTTTATTAGCTCTGACAATCGCACTACAGGCACCCACTGCCCCCACTGCCGCCACTGCCGCCGCTGCTGAACCCCCTGCAGTCCGGGCGGCTGGCTGGGCCATCCGAGTGTCCACGGGGCTCCAAGTCCCCGGCCCCACCCGCCCTCAGTTGTGGTCGGACTCCTCTTCCTCCTGGCGAAGCCACTTGAAGAAGCCTGTGACAGATTTAAGGGCCACGCCCTTGCCCTGCTGCTCAGTGGGGTCCTTGCTACTCTCCCAGCTGTAGAAAGCGTCCTCCTTCACCACGTCCTCATCGTACAGCGCATCGAAGAACATCCCAAGCAGGTCTGCAAGCAGGCAGGACAGAGTTCAGAGGTGTGCTGCCCACAGAGGTGTGCTACCTCCCAGGATCCCTCCTACACTGTCCTGTTAAAACAAGGCCCTTAACCCACCATCCAGACACCCTGTTTGACCATTTCAGCGTCACTAAGTCTTTAACAAAATGCTAATCTCACAACCTAAGAGACTGGTGGGCAGGATTGAGTCACTTGGCCAAACCATACAAACCTGCCTAGCCTCACTCACCTCGGCAACTTCCAGTTTCCTCACTGATCATAGATATATTTAGTGGGGAAAACTGTATGTAATATTGGTACTCTTCAATTTGGGGAGTCATGTATAAGTCAAGAGTATAACCTGGCACACCCACCGACCCCCCACTACGGACCCTGACATATTCTCGATCCCAATTTCTTACTTTCCATCTATCTCCTGAACACACACAGCCTCTCTGGCCTTGCCACTTTCACCTGTGCTAACACACTTTTGCCAGGACATCCTTTCTCTTGTCACCTTCTTAGTGGATTCCTTTCGGCTCAACTCAAGCACCCCGGCTCTGACCCTCTCTTCCCCCTCAGCCTCAGCCTTCCCAAGCACTTGTCCTCTAACCCTGAACACAACCTACTTTCTCCCCCACACTGGGCTACATTTCCAAAGCAAACTTTACATTCCTAAAAGCAAATGGAGGCTGAGTAGTGAATATGTTTCTCCTGAATAAAAAAATGAGTAAAGCACAGGATCTAGAGTCCTATCCACTTGTGAAACTCTGAGCCACCCAGGAGAAGCTAAAAGCGAGAATGTTCCTAGGGGCACCCACACCCCCCGTCTATAACCCCTTGCCCGAGGACAGCTCCCCACCCCCATCCCACAGCAAAGGCAGCAGCCCATTATTCATCCCAAACCTGTTTTCCAAATGCTATGCACACCCACTATGGGGACCCTGCACCATCAATGATCCACTCTGCCCTATATTTTTCAAGCCCAAGTGTCTCCCATCTCAACACCAAAGGCCTCCTTTACCACCACTATCTCTTGTAACCAAACAAAAAATTGTTGTCTTTTGACTGGAGATTTAATTCAAAGATTTTTGTCTACATTTGCAGTTTTTTCTTTTCTTCTTTGTCTCAGGCAATTATTACTCAGTCCTTTCTAATTAAGATCCTGGCTCCCTGTCCACCAAATAATGTTTCTGCCAGGGTGGCCTCCATGTTTTTATACTGCAGAAGCCCTTAATTTTCAGGTCTCCTCCCATGGAGCTCTCAAGCAACATCTAGTATTACTTAGACCACTTCCCTTTCCCAAAATTACTGTTCTTTGTTCACAGAGCCCTGTCCTCCTTTGGTCCATACCTGTAGCACAGGTGACCAACACAAGGCCCATGGGCCGAATCCGACCCTTTACCTTGTTTTATCCGGCCCGGCACCTTGTTTCCACCCAGCGGCAGTGCCAAGCTCTTGCTTAGCTGTTAGGGAGTAGTTGCATTTATACAGTCCTAAAATTACACTCGGCCCTTTGAAGGCAACCACGAGGCTGATGTGGCCCCTGGTGAAAATAAGCCTGACACCCCTGCTGAAGGTCCTTCACCTCGAGGTTCTACTCACACCCTCATCACTCTCACTCGGGCAATCCCATACCACCTTGTGATTTGCACATGTTGTGGCGCTGTGCTAGCAACTCGCAGGTAGACCTCCAACCCTCCAAATGAGTTCACTCTCCGAATGAGTTCAGATATCTAGCAGTCTGCCAACATCTCTGGTCAGGCCCACCCACAAACCACAAACTCAATACAACCAAATCCAACCTGATCCAGTGGATGGCACCGCACTATCACCTCACCTACTAAAAACCACCCTGAAATCACAAGACTTCAGATCTCTCATCGCCCTCTCCCCAAGCCTATGTCTTGCATCTGCCCACTCCCCTCCCGTCTTCACTGCCACCAGCCAGGCTGGGCCACTATCGACACACTCCTGGTCAGCTGATTCTACCACATACACCCCCACTCCAAACTAACCACTCTTCCCCTAGTGGCCAGGATGGTTTAAAAACTGAATTAGAACTTTTTAATTCCTTGTTTAAAATCCTACCAGAGCCTCTCCCTGTCCTTAAGTTAAAGCCCAAAATGCACCCCATGGCTTACAGAGCCCTGAGTGACTAGGCCCATGTCTCTCTCCAGCCCCTTTTTACTTCACACGACTGGTTTCCATGCTCTCCCTCAATGGTCTTCCTTCAACAGTGCTTTTCACCTTGTGTCCAGTTCTTCCTTCCTCTACACACAGCTCTCCTTTGCTCCAAGACTACCCCTCCCATCTGTTACTTAGCTCCCATCTGTCAATTCCCACTCATGACCCCTTAGCCTAGGTGCACTCCCCGAGAGCGCACTCTGTAGGATCCATCTCCCCAAACTCATCGTCTGTGACAGCCCCAGGCCAGCATGGTGACTGTGCTTGTCTTACTCTCTGCTAATATCCCAGGGCTCCAAGACATACCTGTTGGCAGAATGCATAACCTCAGGCATGTTAGCCCTCAGTCTCCCAAGATACAGAGGAGGAAAATACCATCTATTCTAAACAATAGTTGTGAGGATTAAATGGGGCAAGAAAAGCATCTTAGCCCAGTATCAGGCAGAGAGAAACATCATTTATCAGCTCTGCACTGCTGGCATCTAAGAGCTGGCTAAGCCCAGAACAGGTGGCCAACCTTCAAGGCCAAGTCTAATTTCTCCCACACGTAGACAAGGAAATAAACACTGTAGGGGGAAGGCATCAACCATCAGAGCATTTGCTCTCCAATGACCACCCATCTTTCTTGGGTTGAGACCCTTTCCAAGACTGTCCCCACTGTCTGGAAGTTCTCCCATCCCACCCCCAACCCTCCAGCCTGGCTCTTACGGGGGGGCTGTTCTAAGGTCACTACAAGGGCCTGGAGGGCATAGAGTGCCTGCAGCTCCTTCTGCTCGTCACATAGGTATTTCTGTAGCAGTTTCGCTCGAGCTTTCAGCACCTCAACATCCACTCGGAGGGGAGTCTCAACTACAGAAAGGAAGACAGGGATAAGTGGGATAATGCACCGTCATCCTGGTTCAGAATTAGGAGGCAATGACCAAAACCTCCCTCCCTCCCTCCATTTGTCTCTTGGGCCCACCCTTGCCCCACCATCTCCCTGGCTCCTCTTACAGATAATTGCGGAATAGCAGACACTTTTCATGAGGGCTCGAACTAATGTGTTGGATGCTACCTGCTGTTCAGACAGGTTGGCCTATGCAGGAGAAAGAGAAACACATGGCCCATAAACTCTGAGTTTTGTGCCCCATCCCTCACCACACCAAGGACGACTTCTTTATCCTCCTCTCCCAATATCAAAAGAAACATACCTCTATCCAGTCAAACACCTGCTGGTTACTGCTGCCCTCCTTGAGCAGCTTCTCCAGCTGTCTGCTCAGCTCCTCAGGGGAGAGCAACCTCTGGCCAAGGCCTTCTGATTCCTCTACCAGGGTATACTCCACCTTCTGCAACCAAATTGGGCCCCAATCAAGAGGTAGGTAAATCCACCATGCCAGCCCCCAATGAAGTTATCCTGACTCCAGCACAAACCTACCTGTTCAGTGACGAATGCACCAACATCCTGGCCTTCCGGTAGAAATTCTTTCCAACTGAGTCCAGCCTCTTGCCACAGCGCCCCCACCTTTTTGGGACCCTGGCACACACAAGACCAACTCAGCAACCCTCAGTCTCCCAAAGAATTTAACAACACTACAAATGGCACCCATCAAATATGAACTGAAAGGCTACTAGGTGCCTGCTATAGGCTCAGGATGCTAATAGGTACCAAATAGGCACAGTCCCTCTGTGTTTACTGTCTCCTACTGGGCACAGAGCTCAGTTACAGATACAAGAACTCATCCAGTGAGACTGAAGGTTGGGGGACTGGCCTGAGAGTCTCCAGGAAATATGTCAATTACCTTTCATGGAATTCTCAAAAGAATTACTGGACTACAAAAGGTAAACCAAATCCAAATAAATATCTCACCCCAGCCTTCCACACTCATCTATGTTTTTTCTAAAATAACTTAGTTTTTCATTACTCCAAGTAACAAATGCTTATGGGAGAGGACAATTAACAAGTATGTTTGATTCCCAAGTCCAGAAAATTTTAGAAGCATACATACCCACCCACCCCCAATGCAAATCAGAATCTTCACATAAACAGCAGGGTGAGCCCATTTTCTGTAAAAGAAGATTCTGAAGATTCAAAAGATTCTGAAGGCATGACTTTTATAATAATAGGTATGTAAAATGATGACATCAACCCTTAACAAGATTACTGTGTAGTTCAGGGATTTTAAAGATGCCCATTTTAACACCACTAAAATGGAGTTGTCTCAGTTGATATACTGCATTTTAAAAACATGGTCATAAGTCTTTTTTTAGCAGAGCATAAATGTCCTATAACCTATGGCAACTTAGAGTCAGTAAAAATACGTAAGAAATTCAACATGCTTTTCCTTTTTTTTTTTCCCAACAAATTATCCTGGTACATATTTTTAACCTAAAAGGATTAATATTTCCCCCTGGCAGGTGTAGCTTAGTGGAATGAGCACTGGTCTGTGAACCAAAAGGTTGCTGGTTCTATTCCCAGTCAGGGCAATCCCTGGGTTCCAGGCCAGGTCCCCAGTTGAGGGTGAGAGAGGCAACCAATCAATGTTGTTCTCACACTTTAATGTTTCTCTCCCTCTTTCTCCCTCCCCCCCCCTCTAAAAATAAATAAAATTTTAAAAAATAAATAAAAGGATTAACATGAAGTCTCACTCCTCTGGGTCCCAGGTAGCTGAACTCTTCCGAAACTGCACTTTCCAACTTCTCACTACCACTAAGCACCACACCCAGCCTGCCCTTCCCATCTTTCCACCTGCTAGGCACCAATTAACCTTCACCAGGCAGTTTCAGCACCCTTCTAGGGAAGCATGCTGTCACAAAATTGTCAGACACTCCTTTGCAACCTCACCGTACTTAAAACCCTCAAATTCAACCACTTTATTCCACACTTTACTTCACTACTGTTTGTGTTAAGCTGTCATTTTTATTTTTTCCTCTTCCTTCTTGTTTCCTATTTCATTCACTTGCTGTATTATCAATGCCTAGTACTTAGTAAACGTTTGTTTGTTTTTTTAAAGCATTAGTTGAATGAATGAACAAATCAACCAATCAATCAAGGGTCAGGGTCCTAGATTCCCATTCTCCATTGCTGGCCAGAACTCACAAGAGGAATTGATCTGAGGGATTGCCGGTCTCTCCCAGACACTAACGCAGGCACTACCACCCATCCCCATTAACCCCATCCCACCAGAAGACCATGAGGCTTGCCATCACTACAAGTAGTCAAAACGCACAGTGGAAAGCGAAATCCTGAACACATCACCCACAAAAGGTTCTCACTCACCATGCTTTTGCATAGGAGCCTCAGGATCTCCAGCAACAGGGAAGCAGCTTTGCCCAGGGGTCTCAGAGGTTTTATAATCTCCCTATAAGAAAACTCCAGTGTTGACAGCCTCTCCAAAGCCCTAAACACACTACCCTACCCCTCCCTAAACCCAGGCACCTTAACCTGCCACCCCTCCCTCCCCTCCCCTCTTTTTGTCTTTACCTCTCCTGAATTCTACCAAAGGGAGCTCACCTGAACAGCTCCCCCATGGGTACTCCACCATCCTGCAAAATTGGTGTTACTAGTTCTGCCAGGTAGAGCCACACATGGGGGATGTCAATTTCCATGTCTTCAGCCAATTCTAGTATTTCATACAGCCTGCAAAGAGAATTCAAAGTCAAGGCATTCTAGGAAACAGGAACCTCACCCTCCTTCTGGGGCAACTAGGCATGACTAAAAGGATCAGCTGCAGAGCCCATCAGGAACATTTCCTCAACATGGGCAATTATCTCAAGCTAAGGACATCTTCTTGTCCTTAGATGGCTCACCACCCCCATCCCTGCCAAAAATAATGTTGACCAGGACAGCTGAGGAGCCTACATTCTTCCCCGAGGTCCACGGGTCCAAAGGGTGCAGGTCTGTAAAAGTGGGAGGGTCGCAGAGGTCGGTCATACCCTTGGTAGTACTGTGCAGTGGAGAGGTGCCCGGCAGAGAGCAGCCGGTGCAGCAGCTGTCCCATGTGCTCTCGAGCAATGGCACTGCGCTCTAGTGTGGACTCGACACCGTGCCGCACAAAGATGAAGAGCAGGGATGGCGAGGCCAGCTCCTGCACACACTGCACTGCCTCCTGCAGGAGGCCCAGGTACAGGAGGACAGCAGTCAGTGTCTGGCCCAGACCTTACACTGCACAGCTGTCGGTGCGGCCCCGCCCTCTCTGCCATCACTCAGACCCTCCCACCACCAACCTTCATGTCATTGAGATGGAGGTATTCCTCAATGATGGCCTTGGATTTCTTCTCCAGCTCCTCCTCTGAGAGTGCAGCCTTTGGGGGACTCACAGGAGGCAGGGTGGCTTCCCGCTTCACTGAGGGGGACGGAACAAACCACGAACTCTAGTTCCAATCTCTCCAGCAAACACAGGAGCTCTGAACGCTGTCTAAAGACAGGCTAGTCCCAAACCAGGCCGCACCACTCCCTTCCCTTCCTCTCTCGGCCCCTTACCAGCATCCCGCCCTCGGTCCCGATCCTCAGACAGGCTGGCTGCCTTGCGCAGCCCCTCAGGCTGAGAGGGCCGCTCTCTACTCCGCTCCTCCACTTCCTTGCTGAAGCTGCGCTTGGTGGCAGGTGTCCGAGATCTATCAAGCCGGTCACCACGATCACCTCCCCGTTCACTCCGCTCTAGGCGGTCTCCTCGGTCCCCAGCTTTCTCACCTCGTTCCCGGCTCAAGCTACTCCTAAAGGAAGACAGGCTCATGGTGTCTCACCTGTGCCACCCAGGCACTCTCTTCTTTAGCTATGCAACATGCTGAGCAACCACCAGGCCTTGTTCTTGGCATCAGGTGTATGTCCCAATCTCAGCCAGAGCCTCTGAGCATTGCAGGTATTTGTGGAAAACAAAGACACCTGGGAAATCTCACCTCTGAGCCACACGTCTGTTTTCTGTGCTTTCTGTAGGTGCTGCTTGTTGAAGGGCTGAGAAGCGATTCAAGGTACTAGTAGCTGGACGAACAGCTTCTGATGCTGAGAAAGCAAAATATGAGAATTAAAATCTGTTTTCTTACATCCTACCACCTACCTGCCAGTTTAGGACACTTGGTCCTACTCCCAACACTAAAGCAGTTCAGTCCCTAATCCCACCAAGTAGTACACGGCTCCTGCATTACCTAACCACTCTGTACTGAAAGCCTCCCACAGACAAGGCTCTGCCTTCAAGACAGCCCACTAATAACCACCCAGCTCTTTACAGCAGCATCCATACCTGCATCAGAGGGCTTGGTTCCTGAGCCTCCACTGCTGCCCTTGCCCCAGCTCAATCGCCCTCCAGGTGCAAAGAGCTGGTTGTTAGAATCAATGGAGCCAGGCTGAGGAAGGAAAGGGAGTGGAGAGTCACGGGTCTGACCTGGCCAAAGCCCCCAGCCACACACAGCCATGAACAGCCTAGACCAGGGGTGAGGCACACTTTTCCTGTAAAGGGCCAGATGTAAGTATTTTAGGCTTTGCAGCCACAGTTTCTATTTCAACTACTCAACACTACGGCTGTCATACAAAAGCAGTCACAAAGGATAAAGGGAATGACTGTAGTGGAGCTGCAATGAAACTATGGACACAGAAATTTAAACTTTATGTAATTTCACGTCACGTAACAGCATTCATTTTTTTCAACCACTAAAAAAATGTAAAAACCATTCTTAGCCTGGAGGATTACAAAATAGGGAGTGGATCTAATTTTGTGTGCATGTCAGTCTGCTGACCAGAGTGGCCCACGCCAATGGGATCACACACCCTAGGGCTAGTGGCCCTATCTCCAGTAATCTAACCAGTTAATCTAAGAGGAAAATTTCATGTGTCAAGAGAATGAGGGGGCTAAGACCCAAACTGTGTTTAATGCCAACTTTCATCCCTCTTTACCCTCCTATTACTAACATCACCCCCTCCAATACACACACCCCTACCTTCGTGATCTTGGTGAGTCGTGAGGTGTCAATAGGGCGGCTGCCCTTGCTGATGGGGACTGTGTTCCAGCCACCATCATCTACAAGTGGAAGGCCACGGCCTGGAACAAAAAACAGAGAGCTATTAAAATAATGAACAAGCCTTAACAGCCCCGTTCCCTTGGGCTGGCCCCAGCCTTGCTTCCTCAGTTCCTCAGTTCCATCATGGGGTCTCAGTGGCCCAGACACGTGGCACTAACAAGAAGTCATCAGTGGAAAGCACAATCCCTCACATTGCCCCCTCCTCAATCCTAGCCTCGAACTTACTGATAGGTGGGCCTGGAGGACCACCCCGACGTTTGTCGCTGCCCTTGGCCATCAGCTGCTGTACTTTTATGTGCTCTCGATGCTCCTCCATCTCCGCCTCCTTGTGGATCTGGTCAATGGTCTTGGGACCCTGATCCCCTCGGCGTGGAACCCAATTGCTCTGTGGAGACATGAAGCCAGTCACAAGAGATAATTACATCAGAGAGGCCAGACAAAGCAATGTCAGGAACTGGGGACTGTGGACTCAGAGGCAACCAACTAGCAGGGGAAGGGGGTGACACACACCCGTCGCAGATCCAGCACATCTTGCAGCATAAAGCGGATTCGGGATGAAGTCTTCTTTTCCTTAATTATTTTTTCCATCTGGTTGAAATACTGATCCATTCGGGGCTAGGGAGAAGCAAAGGGATCAGGCCAGGAACTTCCAATTCCTCTCCTCCAGCTCCAAGCCCTGAGCGCCAACACTGCAGTTCAGAGGCCCAGACACGACAGCCCAACAGGGAGCTTGTCAGTGGACAGCAGGCCCCACGTACTTCAGCCTGTCCCCCTCCACATCCCAGGACCCCTACCTTGGCTTTTTCAAAGTCCAAATCTTTGCCAATGGTAGTGAGCAGACGGCACAAGCATTCGAGGGACTCTTCATCGTGATTCTTAAGTAGTTTAACTACGCAATCGTGCATTATTGCCTCTGTTAACATCTTCAGCTTAAACAGCTCCCCAATGAACTTGATATTCCCTAAAGAGCGCCGCCGGGCTATGTCTCGAGCCTCTTCCAGCTCTTCCTTCAAGCGTCCCCGTTCTTCTGCCTGGCAGTCATGGGACAGGGATCGCATCAAGAAGAAACTCAGTCCCATGGCTAAAGCCCTCTCCCTCCGCTACCTGGATTTCTATACCCAGCGACAAGTACTCATGTCCTTAGGCAGAGAAACCCCCATCACCAATCCCCACACCCGATTCTACAGCTAAGTAGCATCTGGATGAGCAGTAGAGCTGGTGCGTTTTCTCTCACCGTAGCAGCTTCATCCATCTCTTTTTGCTTCTTCTCAAAAACCTCATCATCATCTTTGTCTTTTTCAAACTCCTTCTGACATCGATTCAACAACAGTTTTCGAAAGTTTACAGTCACTGCTGGCTTCTCCGTAGTGGGCACTTTCAGCTGTGTATCAAAGAGAATGTCACATTTGGATTACCCATAGCAAGAAAGACCCTCCCAGAGTCTTTAACTACCTAACCCAGGAAGAGCTCCAGCCCCGGGTCTGCCTCCTCTTGGAGAAGAACCAAAAAGATGGACTTCCAGAGTGGGAGGCCAGACCACAAGACTGGGAAAACAGTGGAAACTCACCGTCATGAGGCAGCGACACATGTTGGCATAGGCCACAGAGAAGTTGGGTTCTGAGATGGCCTTCTCAAAGATGAGGTCAATAACCCCTTTCAGGCGTTCCTCGGTGTCGATGGCCAGCTGCGTCACCTGCTTCATCAGCTGCTGGAACATCTGGGGTGTCAGCTTATTCAGAATGGCGCGTACCCTGCGGAACAGGTCCTGGTGGGGAGAGGGAGCAGAGAAGACACAGGATCCAGTGAGGTTCTCAGAAGAACAGGGGCCACCGAGAAGGGTGAAGAGAGTAGGGAGGATGGAAGAGGCTACCGAGAGGGATGGACGGAAGCAAAAAAGCACAGCCAGCTCAGCAGACCCTGAAGAGAAGGAATGGAGACCAAAAGCAGGGCCTGCCAGTACCTGGGTTTTGCTGCCATCAGCGTCCTCTTCCCCCCGGTCCTTTTCTGTCCGCTTGCTGCTGGGTTTCCAGGCCTTCTCCGCTTTGTTCAGTTTTATATCTTCGGTCATTAACACTGTGGCAATGATCTTACGTGGCTCCTTTCGGGGGCCCTGTTGAGAGCGCCTGGGTCCCAGGCCAGCCTGCTAAACAAGAGTTAAAGAAAAGACACAGTAGTGAGCACAACCTGAGACACCACCACATATCTCCAGGGCAGACTTCTCATTTCCCATGAGACACAGAGGGTCACACATCCCAACTCCCCTGGCCCATCTGCCCCTCTAGCGAGTCCCACTCACCGGCCCTCGGGGCAGCTCCCCACCTGGCCCACCCCTTGGGGGCCCACGGTTGCTAAGGGTTGGTCGGCCAAGGTTGGCAAAGGATGGCGTGAAGTCTGGGCCACAATTTATACCCTGAAGTCTAGCAGGATCCAGTGGCCGAAGTGGTGTTTTATTGGCCTACGAAGAGGACAGAAAAAGTTATCAGAAACAGGCCAGGGCTACTGACTGCTCTTTCAGGACCACAGGCTCCTCCCCGGTCACCCATCAGTACAAACTCGGTCTCCCCCTCAGGCCCACCAACCTTATCCAACACCACATCACTGATATGGGGCAGTCCCTCAGGCTTCTGCATACTGGCAAAGATGAACTGAAAGCCAAGCAGGAACTCACGGTCATAACGTTTTTTCTCCTCAAGGTTTAGAGGCTTCCACTGATCTGTAAGAAGACAGGGTAAACCGACCATACTATTGTCTCTTGGGACCCTGACATCGAGTGCTCAGCCCTCTCAGGCCTTCCTCCTGCATACCTGACTTGTATTCATACTTCTGTTCCCCGGGTTGAATGTTCTCAGCATTGTGGATTTTGTCTTCCTTTGAGTCCCAAGTCTCATCTGCTTCCTCAGATCGTGAGGGCACACTGCTGCCCTCAGGCTCTGGGCCGGGGTTGTTGCCTACAGGTGACTGATTTTCTCCCTCTGGTACTCCTGGGTTTGCCTGTAACCACAGGGCATCCATTTGGTTGCAGCTCAAACATCACTCCACACTCAAACTCTGCCCCGTGCTACAATGTGCTCTTACCTCCTTGAAGGCGTCTAGAAGGTCTCCTACAGCTTCCTTCTTATTGAGCTCCTTAATTTTCCGTCTCCTCTTTGGCACAGATACTGCCACTATTTAGGGAAAAAAACAGAGTGGGGATAACTTAAAAAGTGCCCCTAACCCTTAGGAAGAAAAGCAGCCACAGTGTACCACTTCCTCTTTCTGTCACAGCCTCTCCAGACTTAAAATTCCTTACTCTAGTAAGATTCAGGAGTTTAATCTAGCTCTTAATCTAGTTTACTTAAGCTCTTAAGTAAGCCATTACAGGGCTTCTGACCCAGACATTAGGGCACAAATGGGAGATCATCAATAAACAGAGAGAACCCCACCCTCCAGCCCAGCCCAACACACCTCCACCATCCAGCCACACCTTACCTGGGGTGGCTGTTGCTGCCTCCAAATTCTGGGACAGGTGAGCTGGAACAGGGGTGCTCTCTGGGGGGAGCAGTTCCTCTTCTCCCTTGTCACCCTCAGCTTCTCCTGCTTCTCCTTCTTCCTCCTCCTCCTCCTCTTCCTCCATTTCCTCCTCTAGAGCAGGGGAAGTCGCTGGAAAATCCTCAGCTGGAGCGGCAGAGAGGACGACAGGGGGAGCCACTGGTGCTGTAACCTCTTCCGTCTGCTCCTTTGGCTCACTGACTGGGCTTAAGTCCACAGCTGGTGGCGAGGGGGCTCCATTGAGCAGTTCCTCAGGTTGGGCAGTTGGAGCAATGGGCGTGGGGGAATCAGAGGGACAAACAGGGGGGAGAGGGGCAAGCTCTGGGTTCAACTCCAACTCTGGTTCTAGATCCTCGGGTGGGACCGTGCCATTAGGCTCAGGAAGAATTTCCACCTTGGGAGATGCCAAGGGGATAGAAACCTGGAGAGGACTAGAAGAGAACTCAGACTCTGGAATTGGTTTGCTAAGTGTCACTTCTACTTCCAGTATGGGTTCGGCGAGGGGAGTGGGTTCTGAAGAGATGCAATATGGCTCCCCAGTTTCACAGGGCATAGGGGTTGATTCTTCTACAGACATTTCTATCATCCCCGTTGTCAAAGTGTCCCCAGGAATGGAGAGGACTGCGAGATTAGGCTCAGATCCTGGTTCCAAGATTGGAGGTGGTGATGGGGTCGGAGAAGGTGAGGAAGGCTGGGATTCTGAAGGGCTATGCTCTGTGCCAGGCAGCCCCGGCCGGGCCCCAATGATTGCTCCCTGTGACCGGTCATCTGCACCACAGGAAGGGAGAGTAATTAGAGGCAAGCCCTTTACTGCTGTTGTTCCTCCTCCTCCACCTCCCAGCCAAAGCATTCCCAACCTAACACCCCTGCCCAATCCTCTCCCACCTAAGCCTTTCCCCTTTTCAGCCAAAATCCAATCCACACACAAAATCCCACTACCTTAAACCTAAGTCATTCTTCTCCAACACCCTCAAGTCACCCCACCTCCTTAGCATTTTAAATCGCCACACTCCTTTTCCCTGTAAAAGCTCTGTCCCACATGCTTGCATACCTGGCCGGACAACAACAGCAACCTGGGGAGTCTCCCCATTAGCTTGAGGCTCCAGACCGACTCCCGTCTGCAGGACACAAAGGGTTACCAACTTTGCCCTGAAGAGTCCCACAACCCTTCTTTACTAGAGCCATTTCTACTTTAGCTCTGCCTAGAAATCCAGGAAAGCAGGGAAACAAATCCCTTAGTTGAAGGAAAAGACCAAAGAACTTGGGAGTCCAAGGCAGAATAGCCATCCCAGCCATGGCATTACTCAAAGAACAGACAATACCTGGGGAGGAGTGGGTGTGGAGGCGGTTCGGGCCCCAGACATAATTTCCTCTGTGATATCCTTCCCTCCTTGGTTTGGATCTCGAATTCTGATCTGGGGAAAGAAAGCTACAGTTTGAGTGGAAAGCAGGAGGAGCCCACCTCTCCACCCTGCCCCACACCTAAGACTCCAGGCCAACCCTCCACCCCCAGACTGGGAAGCAGATGGGTGGGTGTCAGAAACCCCATGAGTTCTACTGTCGACCCATCCGGCTGCCCTGGTCCCACCCCTAAGAGACCCTTGACTTCACAGAGCAGCTCTGTACATCACAATGCTCCTCCCTCTCTCCCTCATCCCTGCCCCACCAACAAGCCCAGGTCTGTGGCTGCACACCCTGGGGCCCAGGACCCCCGTCTAGCACCCATACGGCTCACTTTGTGGCTACTCGGCCTGATCTCTGGGGGCAGGGCCCAGATCCAGTAGGTGGAGCCAGGGTGACTCAGCGGCTTCCCCAGCCCTGGCACCCTATTCTGGGCACCACGCCCAGGGCTTGAGGATTGAGCAGAGGCGGAGGCCTCAAGAGCTTCCAGGACTTGGGGTTGGGGGTGGGGCCACAGAAAACTAACCATTTCTAAAGCAAGCCACCAGAAACCTAAAACCAAATTTAGATCTCACAGACCCCTCCAGTTCTCAGGAACTTCCCCACTAGGCACTTCAGTCTTCCCATGAGCTTTTTCTACACTGTAAGTTAGTATCTTACAAAGAACCTGAGCACTTCACAGATCCCCATTCTTTGCCCACTTCAACTGAAGATCTCCTTCCTTAACTTCCTGCTCCATGACCCACAATGCACCTGACCTTGATTCTCCCTTTTCCAGATGTCCCCGAGCCCACTGTTGCTACTCACCGTTTTCCGCTCCCTCTTGGGAGCAATCTGGGGTGGCTGGTTCATCAAAACTGGGGTGGGGGCCACGCCAGTGGGAAACTGCTGCACACCCTGGGCTGGGTAGTAGGTACCAGCTTGGGGGTGGTGGCAGGGGGGAGGGGAGACACACGGAAAGAAAAAATGGTGGCAGCGTCAGGGCCCAACCATATACAAATGCCTGCTCAAGCACCTCCCTGCCCCAGAACCTCTCATCACCCACAGCCGGCCCCTTGCCCTGCTCCACCCTCCTCCCCAAGGGAATTAGGTGTCTATCAAAGCAGGGGAACCAGTCTGAACTGCGTTTACAAGAATTCCTGACACTGGCACACACACCCCTAATAGGCAGGCACTCATTTCCCATCGCACCACCAGCCACCAGAATTCTGTATGTTCCTCTTCTACCTCATAACATGCTGTGTATGTACCCCACCCCCTGGGCACCACATACACATATACTCTGAGGGAGCAGCAACTACTTAACCTGAAACAGAATCAGGTCTTTGGCTGAGAATGAGAAAAAGAGATTTGCCAACCCTATCTATCCATTTAACCTGAGTCCAGTTGCAGTCTGCAGCCCTTTGCTCAGGGGTAAGGAAATAAAAACACTATGAACCAGACCCAGGACAAGGAAAAATTCTTTAAAGCAAAGGTCTCCAAAATGGGGTGCATTTCTTAAACTCATCCATAATCTCCACTTGTCTTTCATAAACATATTTGTTTAAATTCTGCAAACGTATAAACAAACAAAAACATACATGTGTTGGAAGTACTTGCTCAAAATTTTCCCTGATCAAAAAATTTTGGAAACCATTGCCATAACCTTTCCTGGAATATAAATGGAAAACAAAACAAAACAAAACAAAACACAGCTACAAAAACCTTCTAAATCCATGTTACATTATTACTAAAAGACCCTCAAACTAGTACCCAATCATTCCTTGAGGAAGGACTTTACTCTCAGGGACAGGATAAAATAGCCCACCACCCACACACATCCCTACTACCTACTAACCCTATCATTTTTAGACCAAGAGACAACATTGAAATTGTTGAGCTTAGACGCTCCCTGGGACTTACTCTCACCTGACTCCATCCCCTGCTTACCGTAGGTCCCAAACTCTGTAGGGCTTGCACCCGGATAGAAGCTTGGGGCTCCTGGCTGCACAGGATACTGCTGTGTCGGAACAACATATGGGGAACGCCCCTGGTGGAGGGGGAGGAGGAAGGAAGAGAAGGAGTTGAAGAAGCTGAGTACCATATCAGACTACAAAGAGAATGTAGGGCAAGATAGGACAAGCCAACTCCAGGAAATGACCAGAAGAAAGTCCCACCTCTGGAGAATAGATGGAGGGTCAGGGTAGGAGTGGTAAGGGTTGGGGTACAAGGTTCTGTGGCTTCCAGCCCCCAAGCCTCCAGCCTCACCTGTCCAGGGATATAGTAGGCCCCCTGGGAGGCTGAGTAGGAGATCTGGGAAGGGATCATCATTACTTGGGATCCAGCAGGGTAGACATGGGCAGCTGGGCCAGGGCGGGCGGGGGCTGCACTCTGCACTCGGGAAGCTGCACTGCTTGGGGGCTGGGCCCGGCTAGGGTAGAAGTGCTGTCAAGAGGGAGGAAGGCAGTTGATATTGGGAAGGGGAGGAAGTAGACAGCAGAATGGCCACTCCGCAATGTCTCTAGTCTGGAGAGAAGTACTGGGGACTTTGGAGCACAGGGATCAGTCCTTTCAAGACCCACTTGACCAAATGATGGTTAAGTGGCCTCTTGTACTCACGTATGCCCTCCACAGTGAGATACACATGTTGCATCTTATGTATTTACTCCCTCACAACCAAGCATACTCATGTCACCTCCACCAGGCTACCCCTCCTCAGAGGCTTCCTAACATCTGGATGCATCATGCCTAAGTAAAAAGTAAAACCCTTTCTAGTAACATACTCCCCAGCATGCACTGCTCCACCCAAGGTCCAGAGGAACTAACTGCTAACATGCAATGGTCGCCCAGTTCCCAAGTACATGTTCTACAAAATTTAGCACCTAACATGCATCAGTCAGCCACAGACAGAAGCCCCAGATGGCAAATAAGTCCCCACCCTTTATAAAGCTTCCAGTCCCTAGGTCTAGCCCCTGACTAGGGCAGAAGGTAAAGAGTAAGGCCAGGAGAGGGTCCAGGATTAGCAAAGGAATATTACCTGCAGAGACCTGAATCCTCCCTGAGAGCACATGGGGACAGGAAAGAAAAGAATTATCCCCAAGGTGATGAGGAGAAGAAAAGATGAAGAAAGTAGGACAAGAATCCTCCCACTTAGTGAGGAAGAACTTAGGGAACAGAGAAAGGCAAGAACCAGCTGGAGTGTTTATCTTGCCATAGTCCAAAGTGAAAGAGGGGAAGGGGAATGGAGCAATGGCAGCCTCCCAATAAAAGGAGGAAATAGGAAAGCAGGAGTTGGCAGCTGGGCCCAAAACACTGCTCCCAATTCTCATGGCACCAAGACCCCTAGTAATGCCACCCCCACCAACTACATACTCCCCAAGGGGCCATAAGTAATCAGCAATGCAAAGTGCAGAGTCGCATAAAAGAACACAGAGCAACTGTCAAGAAACTGGGCAGATACAGGACCTCCAGAGTTTCCAGCCTAGACCCAAGCTGGCTTAAGCTTCCCATAGCTCCCACCCAGGCCCCTACTCCCAACCCCACAGCCCCTCACCTGGCGGGGCTGAGAAGGCGTGTTCATTTGTGTCGCTTGTGGCGTACTGAACACCACCGGTGCTGTCTGCCCCGGGGGAAACGCTGGCTGAAGGGGGGAGACCAGAGTTCAGCAAGAGGGAAAACCCAGGTGGGGCAGAAACCCAAGCTGGTGAAGTAAGGGGAACAGATCTGTGGCAACAGCCTCAGCAGTTCACATACCCCCTCCCCATGACAGCCCCTGGGAAGAGCCAGTGGCCCTGTCTCAATTTGGCAGCAGGAAACTGCACTTTGCCCTGACACAGATGGGGGTGGGAAAATCCAGAGGGTTGGAACCCGTTCCTGCCCAGCTGCCTGGTCTCCCCCCACTCCCACCCCTGTCTCTTCTAATTCCTCCCTAATTACCTGTGGGAGTCCAGGGGATGGGGCGGGTGGGGGGCCTGTGGGCTGTGGAGCTTTGTTCATTTCATTTGGTCCACATCAGGGTCCCCCCAACACCTGTTGAGAAAGAGTAGCGCTCGGAAAAGGGAAGGGACCCAAACTTAAGGCAAATGGAGTAGAGGAGGGGTTGAGGCAAGGGCTATGTCCCACACCGAGCCCGGGAGGCGCCAAGAGGGTGAAGGAGCAGAAAAGATACAGCTTATATCCCCACCAGCACGTTGCCAACCCGCATCACCACAAACCAACCCCCTGACCTGCTGAAACAGCCCCCTCACTCACCCCCTCGGTTAAGAATAAGTCCACGGTGCGGCCTACAGGTTCTGGGCATCCGAGGGCCTGGGGTTGGGAGGTGAGGGGTATCAACCTGGCTCCGCGGGGCCCAAGACCAACCAGACCGGAAATTCCAGGTCTCGCTGGCACCAGGCTCCCGGATCATAAACGGAGCTAGCAGCAGCTTCGGCCGCGGTGTCCCCACCCCCCACCTGGGGACACCGGGTTCCGGGCCTGGCCCAGGGACACACAAGGCACGCCTGCCGCGGGTGGCCACGGGGGTACCCGCGCGGGGCCAGAGGCGAAGCCTGCTGCCGCCCTGAAGTGGAAGCCAGGAAGGGCGGGAGTCGGGCGGTAAAAGGCCAGGCGGGCGGCGGCCGAAGAGAAGCCGGTTTCAAGCGAGGGTCGGCCGGGAGGGCGGGCGGGGCCGGGGGCTCCTCCCTGCCCACCGCCACCGCCTCCCTCCCCTGCGCCCTCCCTGCGCAGAGCCGGCCAGTGCCAAAGAACAACGTGTCACTTCCCGGCGGCCGGGCCGCAAAGGGGGGAGGGGACGGCAGGCCGGGAGCCACGGTGCCTGCGCCCGCCGGGCCTCCTCGGGTCAGACTGCTGTGGCACTTCGTGGCCGGTGAACGCGGCACTCTCCCAGGCCGCAGGGACCACATATTCTGGCCCCGCGTTTCCCCACCCCCACCCAGCAGCCAGGCCGGGCCAGGCCGGGCACACGTGGGCCGCGGATCGGGCCCTGGCGGGCGGGGGCCCGGGCTTGAGCCGCGGAGCCAGGGCGCCGGGGCGGTGGCCCAGGGCAGCCGGTCCCGGCCCGGATGGCGGCGGATGCGGGGGGAGGGGGTGGGGGGGCCGGGTCGGGCCCGGACATGGCGGCTTTACCTTCAGTCTCCTTCAGTCCGCGCGGCCGAGCCCCACGCAGCCGCACAGACGTAGTCCACAACCATTTCCGGCTCCCCGCACAGATCCCGCTCGGCGGCCACCGCTTCTCCGCAGGCGCAGCCGGCGCCCCCACGTGACCGGCGCAGAAGGCGGAGTTGCGCCGGGCGCCGCGGAGCACATGGGATTTGCCCCGCCTCGTCATGTGACAGCCACTACCCGCCCCCGTGTCCCCTCCCGAACTTTAGAACTCCCAGACGGACAACCCCCCCTAGCTCTGAGTGTGTGTTCCGCAGTTCTTTAGTTCATTCATGCTTTTGAGCCAGCGTTTATTGAGCGCATACTAAGCCCTAGGCCAGGTGCTGGCTAGGGGCCGAGAATACTGAAATTAAAAACTCTGTTCTGTGTAAGTAAATCATGGTACAAATATAGAATGAAATACGAATTTTACAGCCTTTGAAAATAATGTAGGTTAGATCACTGAAAGACCTATTACACTGTTATGCTAAAAGAACTGCAACATTCTAAGAAATTTGTGTGAGTGATTTGTGTTTAACAAAAGTTCAGCCACTCAGAGAGGGCCAAAAATCAACCATGGAAAATTCAGAATGCTGGAAGAAGTAATCTCAAAACTGCTGCCCATTAGCCCAAAGATTTGGGACCCCAGAAGGGACCATACTACAGCCAAACCTATATAATACGAGTCAGGTAGGTAGCCTGGGCATTAATTCACATACTGCTCCTTACTCCTGGTGATGTTACCTACTACCTACCTATTTAATACTGGTTGTACAATAAAATGATAAGATTTGAAACCAGGCAGTCTGGAGCAAGTCTGAGCTTTTAACCATCGTGCTTTCTCTCACAATAACATCTGCCCTATTGGATTGTGAGGATTAAAAGAATTGATTTATGTGAAAATGCTTAAAACAGTGCCTAGGTACCTAGCAAAAATTCTCGTTCTCTCCACCTTGCCTGTGTATACACATAATCTCAGAAGAAACTTTCTCAGCACCAATGATGTATGGGCCACTTAGTATACATGACCTATGTGAGGATTGTAGGCAATCCTCACAATTGCCTACAAAATACAGGTTCCTGCAGAACAGAAAGTAAGGCCTGCTTGAGTGTGGTTGATAGGGTAATAATACGGGTGTAATAATTTATAGTTTTAATTTGAACATTTCACCTAAAATGCCATATGTTGTGCTTGAGTGTAATATTACATTACAGAGTAGATGCTTACAATTTTGTAATGAAAGGGTGGGGGCATTATTTGTGCCAGACCCTGTAAATGTATTATCATCTGCATTATATATGAGGAACTGAAGCTCCAATGGTAGGAGAGCAAAATAGATACATGGAGGAGGAACTACAGTGAGAAAGAAAATGCAGATCTAGAGTATTCTGTGACCCTCTTCAAGTGCTGTGACTTGATGATGTTTGGCTCCCTTCTCTACTCTACTCTTCTCTTTCCCTCTGAAGAAACTAAGAAAGAAAAGTCAATTACTACTTACATGCCAATCCATTCCTAACTCAGAAACCACTCTCTTGAACTCAAGTCAGAACAAGGTTCTACCTAAAAAATACCTTCACCTTAATCACTCCAGTCATCTCAAATTGTGTATGCCCAGATAGGAATTTGTCATCTTTCTCTACTCAATAGTCTACCACCGTGACCTCAAACATGTGCCTGCTATATTCTATTTCAATGAATACTGCCCAACCAGAAAATCTGAGATCCATCCTAAATTCCTTCCTACATGTAATCAATCAGACACCAGGTCCTATTGGTATTTGGATAAAAACCCAGTCCTATTGATTTTATTCCTAAAAAAATCTTTCTTTTGCCCTTCCCACTCTCCTCATTTCTACTGCCCTAGTTCTGGCATTCACTTCCATTGCCTGGTCTCTGGGCCTCCATTTTGAACTTTCCCACCCAGATAGCTGATCATGTCACTCTGCTTCTCTTTTCAGGAAATACTATTTCTTAGCACAACAAAGTTCTTTTAAACTTGATGAGGTTTGGAACTGTGTCTCCTGCCACACTTTCTGTGGCTCTATACACTTAGCCAAACCAAACTATCCGTGGTTTCAGAAAACAAATAGCTTTTCTACTCTGCTTTTGCAACTTCCTTAGCTATATCCTACCCCTTTTCCCTCTGGACAAACTCATCTTCCTCTAGGTCTGTTTCCTCAAAATCCCTCACTTACCCAGGCACTTGGGCTCTATTTCAATGATCCCAGGGTAACTCGCTCACACCCCAGTCCAGTATTAATCACAGTATATCACAATTGTTTTCTTTTCCCTTATGTAAGCTTTTTGAGGATTTTTTCAATTTTTGCATCCCCACAAACCAGAATAACGTCTAATGCAGAATAAGGCTCCATTGATATTTCTTGCTGAGTGAATGGTTGAATGTGGCGTCATGAAAAGTTTAAGAGGCACCATGAAAATTTCTTGCCCTAAAGTACAATCACTGATTTGGGAGGGAATTATCCTTTTGTTTTTCAGTTTACAAATTGCTTTCTAATTTATTTTAACATCACCACCATTGAAAATCAGGTAAAGCAAATATTATATCCCCCTTATACAGATAACAGAGGCTCATCAGACACACTGATTTGCTCTACTACAACAGGTCCCATTAAAGGGCTTTGACAGGTCTGCTGTCTCCCAAGTTCAGTGCTTCAACCTTTTATACAGGTTTTATAAACACTGTTGCCCTGGCTGGCGTAGCTCAATGGATTGAGTGTGGGCTGCGAACCAAAGCACCGCAGGTTCAATTCCCAGTCAGGGCACATGCCTGGGTTGCCGGCCACGGCCCCTAGCAACCGCACTTTGATGTTTCTCTCTCCCTCTCTTTCTCCCTCCCTTCCCTCTCTAAAATAAATAAATAAAATCTTAAAAAAAAAAAAAAAAGACTGTGTCAAATGAGAGCAGAGAAGACAATGGAGACACTCAATCCAAACTTGCTATTTCTCCAGCTAGCCAAGAGCTTGGACTACAATGGGGTCCAAAGCTACAGAAACAGATTAATATAGTGAATTTAAGGTTATGGGTTTGGAGTCAGATGGACTTAGATTCCAGTCCTGGCCCCACTACTTACTATGTGAACTTGCATAAGTTATTACATCTCTACAAACTACATTCACCAAAACAGAGATAATACCTTCCTCTCAAAGTTGTTGTGAGGTCTCAGAAGTATGTAGAATTATTCAACATTTATAGACCTATTAAGTGCCATTAAGGTCACCTCTCAGAGGTTAAATCCACAGAAAGTGTTGGATAAAATGCTAGCAATTACTTCCAGGGCCACACGTTCTCTACTGTATCCGCAGGGGTCTCGGCCCCAAGAGTCAGTATAGCTGTAGTCACACCAGCACCACCAGGAAGCAGCACTGCAGGTCAACAGTGATTACATCCCAGGATGGAGGCCACCTCTTTCCCATCACTATACCAAGAGGAAGGTCAGGGTCAAGTTTTCTTACACCATTTCTTCAAGGACAGCCCAATGTATGTTAACATGATCAAACCTCTCAAACAGCAGCCTCCCCAGAGTGACAGAGGGTCACAGGAGCTCAAAATGTCCCTTTCACTCAGCAGCAAAAAATCAAAATAGAAAGAGTGGGGCTAATTCTGCTGCCTCTTAGAGCAGGGATCTTTAGTACAAAGGCAGGGAGTGATGGGCTTGAGATGGGTGTGCACTGACAGGGTTGGGGCAGGAGGTGTATGAATCCACAAGTTTATTTGTAAGAGTTTGTGCAAATTCGTGTATATGCATCTCTTAGAAAGAAGGTCCATTACATTTATCAGCATCTCAAGGGTTTACGCCCTTAAAGATAAGCCACTGGTTTAAAATGATTAGGAAAGAGAAGGAAAAAGGTTTAGTTCTTTCCATTCAGGGCAGCCTCCCTGCTGGCCTAGGCTCAGAGCTGCTACAAACAATGCAGTCTCACATCCGCTCCCCACCAGTCTGGCCTCTAGCCACCATACCCCAGAGAACAGACAGAAAAGGGACCTCAGGGATAAAGGTTTTTATTCAACAAAGTCGTCTCACTCAGTAACAAAAGAACAGGAGGTAACAACTCCACCAAAGCTCTAGAGCAGTGTCCACCCTTGGTAGCAGAAAACATGGTCCACTGACATATCAGTTGCAGCTCAGAGCTTCTGGTGGCCACTTAGAGGTCATAGTTGGGGTTCTTTCGAAGGATAACAAAACCTTCCAGAATGGGGGTGACAGGAAGAAACTCCTCAGTGGCCAATTCTGCACGCTCCCCATGGGCCAACAACACTGGGGTAGTGTGTGTCTGAAACCCTGTGATGGTCTTAGGTTTGCCAGCTTGGCCCACCACATCCACTGCCTGTAGGGTGAGAAAATTGAGATGATGGAACTCCAGGTGGGAATGCAGCAGCAACCCAGAGCCTACACCAGTTTCAGAGAAGCAGATATGTGTGCATTCTCCAAGTTCTAGAATACAATCTGAGCCCTCCCCTCTGCTTAACCCCTCACCTGGCCCACACGGACAGACACTGGCAACGGCCGCAGCTCTTCATCGAATGTCACCAGCATCCGGGGCTGCATGGCAGCCACCAGCCCATATAGTACGTAGTGAGATTTGCCGAGGATTACTGAGGGAAGAACACATGGCACAGTTAGAGGCATCTCGACAGGCCTGGCCTGAATCTAGGGCCCCCACTCCAGCCCTGACTCTTTTCCCCCTCACTCGCATAGCTGAGCCCACACTACTCTGTTCATATACACTACTATGAACCAGGGATGCCTCTTCTACCTTATTCTGCCCACAGCACTTAAACTGGTAATCACTTTCCCCCAGGCACTAAGGAGCAGAAACTGGGCTCAGTTCTCCATTCTCAAAAGAAATTCTCTTTGGGCCAGATCAAAAATGTGGGAGATCAAAGCTTCACAAAGTCCATCACAGAACAGCCTCAGGAACAGAGCTAACTGAAAGCCTTGCTCCTAAGTGATCAAGGTGGCCCTGTTAGGGGCGGAGACAGGGTGCCCTGTGCTACCACGTAACATTCCTGATAGGAACTCACTATTGCGGACATCCAGGAAAGAGACAAGCACAGTGAGCAGTCCAGCCACAGCCACTTGACTCATAAGCTGCCGGTCACT